CAGGAACACCTTATTATGCAGATACGCAACCAAGCTCGACATGGCTTTCTTTAAAACGCGATCATGTATCGCATTCTTGAGGGGCTGCCTATTCGTTTGTATCTATCGCGTGCTAGTTAGTTAACATATCCCCAGCCTGAACGGTCTAGCATGGAAACCAAGGCTTCGCGCACTGGTCAGTCACTGGCACACTGCCTGCATCAATAATTGCCTATATTAATTATATTAATTACCCAGCGGTTGGCGTCTGTTTTGTGCGCATGCCATCATCTTACGCTTTTATTGCTCTTGAGCCGCCGCCATAACTCAGGTAGTTAGAATAAACCTGATTGGTACTTTACCTGTCCTCCCAATTGGGAAGCTGTCCAAAGTGGCTTGCTCCCCCTCCAAGACCGCCATAGCAACACCTGAGACATGCTACTACCGATTTAACGAAAAAAGCTCTCTCATTTTATGTAAAAAGCCTCGCGCTGATTTCCGCGCTCCTCTGTGTATCAGCTCGGCTCGGCACCCCCGTAACTTGCCCTAATTCTTCAGGGCATATCAAGGGGGTCATGCTGAGCATAAGCGAATGACGCATGTTTATTGCTGCTATGTGACCAGCATTGACGAGGGAGTGTCGGGATGTTGACAAGTAAGAAACATATCATTATTGCCATGGGATAACTAGTTAGTTACTATCCAGTATCCACGACAAGACAGACATACGCGTCAACGAAGAGGCGAAGAGGCGAAGAGGTCCCCTGAGAAAGGGTTCCTCGAACAGGGCTGCCCACCAGCTTGGTGGGGTCTCCCCCGCGCGAGAACCCAACAGCCTGCGTCCGACGGCTATGGCATTTGAGCTTGCGACACGGAGCTCATGGTGAGAATTGGGGCATGCACTTGGACGGAGTGCTATGCATCGCTGCCCAGTCCGCCACGCTGCGGGTCACTGCAAGGCCACAACGTTGGTCCTATGCAAGCAAAGCATGAGCACAGCGATAGCGGAGATGGCTAGGGTAACGATTTGGACTGTGCTGTTCAGCGCGGCTATTCAGAATGGGCAGTAGTCAATTTATTGAGTAGCGAGACGGAACTGTAAGACGCTCCACTCGAGTCTTATGCCTTCGGTCAATTGGCCTACCTATACCTTTAGTCCCTGCATGAAAGCTTATGACGCCAGATCCCGACACAGATCAGATAGATGTGAATAGGGCCTCGCTATCTAACAATTTGCAATGACAATACTCCCACCGGTAATTGCCCCTCCAAGTCCCAATCTGCATTTGTCGGATGAGCGAGTCCGCGCTCTCATGCATTGCAGAGCCAGACATTGTTAGAAGGTAATAAGAACTCGGGTTCTCAAGTGACCAGTTGGTCCCCTGTAGCTCAGTTGGCTAGAGCGTCAGACTGTTAATCTGAAGGTCGTAAGTTCAAACCTTACCGGGGGAGTAATCTCCTCATATTTTTTTTTCCCTTAACTTTTTTGATTTCTATAAAAAGAATCTCTCTATAAGCGCTCTGGTTTGCTATTTATTATTATTATGTTATTTTTAAGGTCGTGATTTCGTTTTATGTGAATGATAAAAAAATATAGGAGTACCTAAGTACTCCCCCGGTAAGGTTTGAACTTACGACCTTCAGATTAACAGTCTGACGCTCTAGCCAACTGAGCTACAGGGGACCAATTGCTGAGAGCGGTATCCATATTTTACACTATCAGCCTTCCTTAGGAGTCTAGTCCTCAAATCTTAGAACACAACTCCCTTTTCATCCTACGAGTGACATAGCATGTAGTTCATGTCCGATGCCGAATCGACTAGAGAGTTTGAGCCCACTGTGGATCTTGTCTCTGTTCCATCAATGTGAACATTGGTGATTATCTTTCGCCGCATGCAATACACACATTCTGTAGAAAGGCCTCCCTTCCCCCCTGACAGTGAGGTTGCTTGTGCGGTGCATTGAGAGTATCTGCTTTCGATAACTCGATAGCTGCTACACTTGCTCACTCGATTGAGCATCCAGGGTCTATGACAAAACGGGGGATATATAACTCGGGAGCTTTGCCCCGTCTTGTTCGAGTTTGTTAAAGCGCGTATTAATGCTTTCAAGGGTTATTACTGACGGGAGGCAGAATAATAGACAAGACTCACAGGTCGAATGCTAATATCAATCAGATTTGAATGAGTAAAAAACATAGTCGAAGTCGGTTTTGTTTGCCCCGAGTTCCTGGCAGAAAGCGGTACGCGCCCTGCTATCCCAACAGCCGAACCAACTGATAAAATTTCTCACCCTCCGACGGCCTGCACCAGACGCCACAGAACTGCGCACGCTGGAGGAAGACGTAAGACACCAGCTTTTGAGGGTCGAGACTGAATCTTTCAGAAAGGGTGATAAGCGACTGTCCGAGACTAGAGATCCTGAGGATACTGGTTTAGGTGCGTCCGTTCACGTTCAAAGTGAGGCTGGAAGTGTCGGAGCAGTCTAGGATGCACCCGGCGCAACGATAGGACTTGTTGAAGATCAATTATTCAAGTCCAGCCTAAACCTTGGATATTACTGGCATTTAAGGGCTGACCATGGTTGTTCTTTTCCCCGAGACCCGGGCTGGCCCATGATGCAACGGCGACCTGAAGTTGATGGCCATGTCTGTCACGATTCTGAACGTATTGCCGCTAACATTTGTCCTGGCAGATTCCAGATGTTCCTAATTATCCGAAAGCCGTTCCAGAATAGGTCTTGCACGGATAGATTTTAAACGAAGACAAGAACATTGTAGACGGGACGCTGGGCGCCACAGTTTTATCACGTTCACCATCCGTCCTCAATATTATTTAGAGCGCATGATGTAAGACGCATGGCCTTGCAGGTTGATGTGGGAATGAGCATTTGCCTTTGGCTGGTAGGGCAGCCCATACGAGACTCTCTTAGCCGTCAATCCACGCATGCAGCTCCCAAGAAGAGACAGATGCGTCACTACCCGACAGGATCCTGGAAATCGAATTAGGATTAGCCGTCCTTGCTTTCCTGGGCTTGCCGATATCCAGTAGTCTCTGTGCCCAAATCACATGAAAGTTCGACGAGAATGCGAAGAAGCTAAACTCTCTGGTTGATTTCTTGGGGAATATGGACGGAAGTTGGACCGCAGCGACCTTCGGACAGCGGTCCATAGTATTTTCGAGGGTCACTGTAGATATCTGGGCTGATACACTTTACAAGAGACAAAACGACGTTTATAACTAGCTGCTCGGTATCTCACTTCAATTGAACATAACTCGAGCCCTCAACATCAATGGCTTGTTACGTTTCGGCTGGGTGGGCTCTATTTATCACTCCTCAGCCTTTGTACAAGCCTACCTGCCTCACCGCCCTCTATTACGACGTCATTGCAGCGGCCAACCCAAAAAAGAAGAGAAAAGGACGCAGAACAGAAGGACGAGACCGAAGGCTTCCTGCTCCATCAAACCAGCCTGCGGTATTACATTCCAGATGACGACGATGAAATGCCCAAGTAAAAACGAGAGTGGGGGGACAGGTGTCATGACCTGCACATGGCTGGCCCACACTGACAGCGGTCAGGCCCGACTGTCGAATTCTCTCGATCATTTGCTCTAAAAGGAAATTCATGGCGTGAGGTTGGGCATATCGTGAATTTCAGGCCGCTGTGAGATTGACAACACAGCCGAACCGACGATGGGCAGAAAGGTAGCGCTTCCAGACTGCGACTTTGGTAAGCCATTTGCCGGTTTGTTGCCGCGACGGCTTCAATTGAAAGAAAAAATGTCAATGCCGTGTCTATTCTGCTTATTAATGGAGTACATAAACGCATACGGGATAACCCCGTGCCCCGGCGAGTGAGGCCCGGAGGCCGGACGGACTGTCGGCCCCACCTCTCCGTTGGCAACGCTTCCAAACGGCGCGAGGCACCTATTGTCAAGTCTTGACAGTTGCAAATTGATATCAGAGTGACATAGTAAGTCTTGCGACTTGCCGACGTTATAGTCTTTTATGCCGGAGGCCTCTGACTGTCGCTTGAGATGAAGTCATCTCGTCTTGCACTCCTTTCATCTAGAGACGTCATCTCCTTCATGCCACCACGTCATCTCGTTAACTCTTCTGTTATGGAATGTTTAAAATTAGTTGATGGACTTATTTTAGAGGCCAAGCGTCTCCCTCGAGGCATCTTTCAGAATCCTTGGTCAGCTGAACCCCTTCCTGCAAGATAAACCTGGGGGGGGGGGACGCGTAACTATCGTGGCTATGCTACAAACAAACATGCGGCTCTGGTTCCTAAGCCCCTACCTGCCCTAGCCTCATCCAAACAGAGAACGGCGTACAAACACGTCTAACTAGAGACCGCCCCTGCCATGGGTTCCTGGCCCATGTTCAAGCTTAAAGCAAGATCTGAATCTCTCTCAAGGCAGACTCCTGTCATGGACTAGGCATACGCCCGCCTTACACACCCTCCCCATAATTATTTCGAGAGGAGATTGAATTGTCTGGATGAGGCAATATGGAGAGAGCAGGGCCTGGCAAGGTCATTTTGCATCTTGTGTCCTGTTTGAGCGACTCTGGTCCGAGAGATACAGCAGTGGGTGAAAGACGAACCGATGTGACAAAATTTGCAGTCACAGGAAGAGCAAGCTGTTTGCATGTTCAAAGTTTCTGTAGATTCAGTACTCGTATGGTATCAATGCTGGAATCCGTCTATAGTCAAGTCCCCCTCTTGTGTCCGAAGATAGCCGACCAGCAACGCGGAGCGAGGCTCTGTAGATGTTCAAGGAGAAAAAGCAACAGTAAAAACACCTTTCGAAGATCCTCGCTCTATAGCTTAGAATGTAAAAAGAAATGTCGCGCGGCAAGCCCTTTCAACTGCGGAAAGCGCGCTGTAAAATGGCAAAAACCAGAGAAATCATCACAGTTACTAGAATCGTGCGAATTCTCGGAAATAAACGCCTCATAAAACCCAAAACCTCAAATCCGAAATCCAAATACGGGTTATTTCGTTTTAAACACAGTCTTCAACGCCCTCCCATGTCACTACTATATCCGACTTCGCCAAAATTTTGCGACATGCCACCTTCGCCGTAGCCTGTACCCGGGCCACTCATGTAGCCTCCGTCTTCGCCGTCATCGTAGTCGCTGGCATCAAAAGATGAACGCCCGCTAAGATCGTCGTCCATGCCACCCATCTCCTGCGCCGACCAGTTCATTGCTGCGAGTGCCGGGTACTGAGCCAGTAGGGCCGCAGGTAAGGCGTAGTTTCCGTTGGGGTCGACAGGATAGTCCATCGCCATGCCGGGACCGGCCATGCTGGCCATGTCTTGCTGCATGCGTTGTTCTTGCCATTGCCGTTGACGCTCAATCATTTCTTCATCCAACAATGGTTTGATGCAGATGCGGCCCGCCTCGGATCTGAAATGACGACCCAGGGCATCGGCACGCGCAAATCGTCGCCCACAGCCCCATTGGCCGCTAGCCTTGAGCTCACCCTTGCAGACAAATTTCTTTTCCCCAGAATGCAGACTCTCGTGTCTCTTGCGGTCGTGTTGTCTTGCAAAAGCTTTACCGCAAACCGTGCAGACAAAGGGACGTTCGTCCGTGTGTGTTCGCAGATGAGAGCGCAGATTGTAGGCTCGCGTGAACCGTTTTGGGCACAGAGTACATTGAAAGGTGGCAGGGTGCTTCTGCACTCGCTTCGGCCCTCCACTTTCCGAGCCACCTTGATACTCAGGATCAGCCAGGCGCAGGGCAATAACGTTATTCGGGACTGCGGATGTTGATTGTCGTCTCCGGGCAGCCGAGGACTGTCGATCAGCGGGTGAGAGCGATCGTGAGATCTCCTGGCGGGGAGCGAGGTTGGAGCCAAGTGTGGCATTAACGCTACTCGGTCTAGGCTTCGCAGCAGCTCCGGGCTGAAAGGGGTCTGTCACTGATCGAGGGCGCGATTTAGGACGACCTGCACAAATTTTAGCTCGATACATTGGCAGAGTCTATCAAGGAAACATACCTCTGTCTGGTGGAAGCAATGAATCTTGGTCCAAGCGAGATTTGGCGGGATCAAAGCCAACTAACTTGGCATTGTTGGCAGGTGCGAAATCGATGTTAATAGCAGGGGCTATTTGCGGCATGTCTTGGCTGTTACCAACAAAGGTGCCGGAGGGGTCTTGAATAGTAGGATAGGCGGGGATGTGGAAATTCGGGTTTGCCGATGGTTGGTAATGCATATCCGGTAGGGGTTGAGTGCCAATGCGAGGACTGATGGCAGGGCTATGGGAGGGACTGCGACCATCACCAAGGTTGAACGTGCCAATGCTCAACACTTCCTGGTACATGCTGCCATCGGAAGCTCGTTGCAAAGGCGAGTGACCAGACCCATCATCGAAACTATCATGCAGATTCACGTTTGGCGAGTGCGTGACAGAAGACACATCGGAGTACTCGGACGGTGCGCGACGGTGGCCGGTGAACTGAGCACCACTCCATTCGTTGATCTGACCAGGTAGGAGAGCTGCCTCGGGACCAAGAGAAACGTTTCTCGAGTGAACGTTGGGCGAGGAGAATTGGTGGTGCTGGGTGAAGGAAGGCGAATGCTGCGCTGAGCTGGGTGAGTGCTGAGACTGCGGAGAAGTCATGTTGTTAAGATCGGCCGGAGTGAAGCTTGAGGGTTCGAAGAGCGGCGCGCCGAAATGGTCGCCCTGGGTTCCGGAGGACGGGAAGAGGGAGAAGTCGCCGTCGGCAAGGTTGTGCGCGAGGAAGCTCTGCTGAGGCTGGGAGGCAAAGGCCAGGTTATTCGCACCCGATGCTGTTTGCTGAGCGAAGCTGGCGGAGGGGTCAAAGGCGGAGGGGTTGACGGCGTCGGCCTGGAATGGATGCGACTGCTGCGGGGAGAGTTGAGATGTCATGAAGCTATCGGCAAAGGACGAGTCGAAGCTCGAGTCGGCGGCAAACTGCTGCTGTGTTTGCTGGTCGCGGGACAGGTCAAGATTGGAATCGACGGTCGGCGCAAACTGATTTGGTGACGGCGAGTGCGGTTGATTTATAACAGACTGCTGCTGCTGGCCAGCAGCAGCCGACGGCTGGCCGTCCTGCGACGACTGGTGGTCCATTCCGGCAACAGGATGAGAGTGAAAGCGGAGCGCCGTTGGAGACGCTTGGGGATGTTCCGGAAGCGAAAAAGGGAGGGTGTACCTGCGTATCGGGAGATGGGGCTTGACGAAGAGCAGCGGCAGCAGCAAAAGACCCGCGGGGGCGTGAGGAGAGGAAAGATTCGGGGGAGGGGGCGTGAGTCTGAAGTTGATGACTTGTCCGGTGAGGCAGATTTCCGAGTCAGCCTTCTTTTTACGGCGCGCGTGCGCCGCGGGAGTTGTGGTGTTTGGTGATGTATTATGTCGGAGGAGGCTGTGCAGAGCAAGCGTGGTCGTGGGCAAGCGGGTTAGGTCGAGGTGAGTTTGCGGTGGTGGTTGGCTCACACAGCCCAGGGCCGCGTGGAAGGGGAGGGGTGGTCAGAGATGAGCAGGCAGCAACTGATTGGAGCTGCGATGAGGGAAGACTGGGGGGGGAGGGTGCGGCAGCGATTGTTGGCCGGAGAGGATGATGAGAGAGAAACTGGGATGAGACGATGTTAGAAAATATTGGTGGCTCCGTCTCGAAACATCAACCCAGGCTGATGGCAGATGGTAACTAGCGCGACAGCTTGTGGTGAGGGGAAGTATTGTAATAGACGCACCTTTAGCTACCTACTAACCTACCTACCTACCTCGCCTTAGTACGTAGGTGTACCTAACGGCATAGGCTTTTTGGGTGGTAGCCTAATCATTCACCAGGCCTTATCAGTTGACAGCACCTGAGCAGATTTACTTTATTCACGGAGCAGCACTGTCAGAGCTAGGTAGGTATCTAGACAGCATTTACAATGGCATAGGATGATAATGAAGATTTCGTGCTAGGACCCGGCCTGCTCTCCGCTTGATGCCCTGGCTGCGGAGGGGCTCGAGCCAGTTGAATGAATCACGACTGTGGGTTATGGGATGATGATGCCGATGGAGGTGGCCTGCAAGGCTAGAGAGAAACTAGTAGAGGCGAGGAAGAGAAAAAAGAAGCTAGATTCGCTCAGTACAATGTACACCAGCCCTGTACATAGAATACTATCTGGAATGACTGTAATGAGTAACTGGGCGGCGGGGCAATTTGCAGACTGGCAGCGTTGGTTAGTGGAGCTCTCGCCAGTCGGTCGGCGCGCCTGGGCCAATTTTTACAGTGTTGCCTGAGCCTGTGACAGGGCTGGGCGTTGGGCCCCCTGTAGGTTACCGTTCTTTGTCACTTTCTGTAGGGCCTTGTAGCCTCACCCAGTTGTCGGTGATTTCAAGGCGCTAGCGGGCGATCAAGAAAACTCGGGTCCATCCCGAAAGGATTTCATGGGTAAGACATTGTATTACAGTTGCTTTCTTTCTTTCGGATCAAAAGACGAGGATAAAGAACAAGGGAAAATGTCCTCTGTTTGCTCGACTTGTCGATCAATAATACAGGCACCTCGGTGGAGCACTGGGGACAAAGACGTAGCGGTGTTGAGTACCTCGGAGCGCTACAAGCATATGTCGGTACCTAGGTATGTAGGTATGCATGTGCCTGCTGCATCGGGGCATTCTGAGGTATCTTGCTCATGAAACTGATCAATACCTAGTTATAAAAGGCCTACGCATAACGACCAAGATCCTGGATAATTTGCACGTTCCCGACAGCCCCTCACATCAGTTTTCGCGCTACATCCTCACACTACCGCCCAACAGGTACCTTGTTACTAATTAGTTGCCGGCCTAAAATTACCCAAGGTACTCTATTGTTCTTGAACCTTGTTTTATTTTCTTGAACCGTTGATATCGAGTACTTTCCATCGACGGTGCTTGAAAAAGGGTGTGGCTATTATGCATGTATGTGTTAGTAGGGTGTAGGGAAGACTGCGCCACCTTGATCTCGGCCTCGCACGCCGCCCTTTTTGGGACGAACAGCCATCTGGTCTCGTTTGGCGGTTGTGGCGTGTACAACCAGCGCCCGAATTCCAAAAAAAAAAAAAAAAAAGGTAATTTTGCATGGGCCATAATTAGTACCACTTGGAAACTTGATGATGCACAAAAAAAAAACGCTCCTCTCCCACGTTGTTTCCTGGGAGGCGCCGGGGCCCGCTGACGGACTTGATCCCCGCCGTTAACGAGCAGCAGCCCTATGGTTTGACACCTCATCAGATGCCAAATTCGGCAGTGAGGCAGACTTTGGCCGACTTGTTGCGTCCTTCTTGCCCTCTCTCTTTTCGCACAATTAATCCGCTATTCCGTCTCTGCCGGATTTCCTACCCCACACCCCCGAATTTCCATGTCGGTTTTCAACCAATCGACATTCTTCCATCGCATGGTCAGAAGAAGGGAAAGACGCCAGAACTAGAAGAGCATCAAGGAATTTACTATTGACTATTACCAGTAGTTACAAAACACGCACCCGAGGGCTCCACGCAATGACGCGGCCCTCCCCCACGGATGCCCACCCCTGGAAAACCGGCCAAACGCCCGGCTCTTGCCAAATCGTGCAAATCAAAAAAGGTCGTGGAGAATTTCCATGGCGTTTGATTTGGCCGAAACTTTCGGCCAGCACGAGTTCACTAGTTTGCTGTTTTGGAAGAACAAGGATATTCGGCCAAGCGTCTTTCAAGCGTGCCAGTAGTTAGGTATCCTACGAACATCTCCACGTCTGGTCGTTTGTACAGGACCGGTGTTCACCACAAACAGCGTCTACTTAATAATTAGTCGTCGTCATTCAACTTCTTGGCAAAGACACTGACTCTGGTGATGCATGTCAACTCCACACGCCTTCCCAGCGTCACTCCTATCCATCATTGTTTGGGGTCTAGAATCCTCGTGTGTACATGGGTGCCGCCGTCGTACGGGCATATGGTCGCCTTTGTCGTATTGTCGCACCTGCCTGTGCTGATCACAGCTCAATACCGCCTACACATTCTACGGGACACACGAGTCCAACACGGTGTTTTGAAAGCGTACCCGTTTCCGCCATCAAGACATGTTTCACGGTTTCCTTTAGTCAAGCTCGACGTGTAGCCCTGCCAAGTACACCATCAATATCTGGTGCTGGTGCTTTCCCCACTGGGACAACGACCCAATCGGCCTCCCCGATGCGCATGCGCATCTCAATAAACGGAACTGCACAGAAGCGCCCTCTCACGCGCCTCAATATGACAGTCCACAGATAGGTAACGTACATTCTCAATGTAGGCCGATGTTCATAATCCTTGTACGGCCCCCTAATTCAACGTCGCATCTCGAAACCGGGGAACTGACCATCCACGACGGAATCCCGGCCGGGACGTGGCTGCGGCGGGTGGGGCGCGCCAATAAGGCAAGGCTTTTCGCAAGGCGTTTCGGGGACCCTGGCCTTGCCGTCGCCGAATCTACCGGGAGGCCGCCGCCTTAAGCCCGTTCAGGGGGGGGAGCCACCAATTTTTCATGCACCAGGGGAGAAAGAAAAAAGGAAGCTACGGTGATTAAATTTCCTTTCCGTAATAAGGTTGATCTTCATCGGGCTCACGGGCTTTGAGTCACTTGGATGCTGGCCCCATTCCTTCTTTGGGCTGGCCGTGTCCACCAGCCCACGCACCTGTTGGTCTCAATAAGCTCGGAGACATGTGCCGGAAGAGTTCATCACCTAGTTACCGAAGCATTATTAGATATGTAGACATTTATGTCCCGATGGGGAATGCTCATCTCAAGACATGGTCCAGAAACGAGAACTTTTGTACTGATGACGCGTATATAGAGAAGTTGACGCAGGGGTCGTGACCTGATGCATCGGGGTCAAAGTCTTGGTCTCGTGCTCATCACACCTCGGCTTGCTTGGCTCGTAAGGCTGGGTTGAAATTCAGTAAAGTTGGGTATTTCCTTGCCCGAATGAGCCTGAACCTCCTCGACTCATCCATAATGCACTCTGTCTAATGTTCTATCCGTTGACGTCGCAAAATCTATGAAAACATGCCTCTCAAGGCGGAAATGGGTGGACAGGACCGACAATCCTGGGCGAAACTAAGAATGTGGCTCAAACAACCTCGTCGCGCTCGAAACCAGCCGGCTTCAGGCTGGGATTCGGTGCTTCCTTGTGGTCCTTGAACTTGCTAACAAATGGGTTGGGGTCTTCCTTTTGGTTCAGGTTGCCAAACGTATGGTTGACGCCTCTGTGGCCGGCTTCGTCGGCGCGAATGTACAGAAGAAGATCCTTCATTGTCTGATGACCTTCTGGCATTCTCCAATACTGCAATGCGTTAGTACCTATGTCCAACCTTGACACCTTTTGACTGACCTGAATGGCGATATCGGGAATGCGAAACGTGGCGTCGGCCCAGCGTGGTAGATGGCCGTCTTCAATCTCTTTGATTGATCTTGTGTACGTATGCACAGCCTCTTCCTCGAGATAGCCAACGAAGCGATGCACAATCTTGGGGTTCAGCAGATACATGACGAACATGCCGTTGAAGAAGACGCCCTGGGCGCCGATGATCATGAGCTTCATGAACCAGCCGGGTTCGCACATTTTCATAAACGTCAAGAGATGCATCCTTTCGTTGTAGCTTTCTTCGAGCAGGGTTTCGATCCAGCCATTGTCGCGCTTCATGCGACGCAAGCTGCCCAGATGCCTAAGCATGCCGCCGACCATGCCTGGCACACCAGCAATACTCTCAAGAAAGACAAATCGAATAAGCTATTGTTCATGGGTTAGCGCTATTCGTCGCACAGAGAAAAATCCAGCATGGGATTTCTTTCTTCGGTTTTGGGGGGGAAGCTCACCCATTGGGCTTCGGTCAAGGGTTTTTCGGCCTCGACAGCGGTTGTGGGATGGGCCTTGTCGACCTGCTGCTCGCGGTCCATGCCCGTCGCCTTGTCCATCCAGAAACGGGCGAAGCGGACCGTCTTCCACGCCAGCCAGTCACCAAAGGTGCGCGGCTTGCGGTGGGCGGGCACGACGGCCTTCATCTCCTCGAGGGTGTAGCCAGGATGGGGCCACGCCGCCGGCGTCGTCTGGATCAGATGTGTGTCCTTGGCGGGAAAAAAGTCCTTGAGTTGCGCCACGGGCGTCGTGGAGAATGAGCGACAGCCGTGGCAGCAGAAGGGCGTCGCGGCCAAGCGCAGACGCAGACCGGCTTGCTGTGAGCTGGCATGTGCGGACAAGAGGGCCGTCTTGGTCAGCTGGGCAGCCTGCCTCGAAGCAGCGGGCGCTCTCGTGCGCGTAGTCGCGGACAGCATTGGATGTGCGATGCGATGACTGGTAAGTAGTGTATGGGCGTTGGCGGCTAGATGACGGTGATGGGAGCTTGGAAGCTAACTAGTGGTTTTCTTGGCTCGAGGTAGGGTTGCAAAGAGGGGTTGGTTGTATGGAAACAAGAAGACGCGTCGCCGGTATTCTGAATTGAGTTTGTGTGGTAGTTAGCGGTAAAGGTAACTAGTTGTGGTTACTGTGTTGGGCATGGTACACTGAAGCTGAATGCAGGTGTAAGTCAGAAAACAAGGGCAGCAGCATTTATATCATTCTGGAGGACCCCCCCTCAGAAAAGCATAATAATAAAGCACAAAGCAATCTAGGCCGCTAAGGAAACACGGTAACAGAGCCGCAACGGGTCCCGGTATTGAATACGAGCCCAAAAAGAGAGAAAATCCAAAAACTAGCCTCAGGACAGAATCGGGACAGAAAACGGATCACGAGTGAGATGAAAATTTCAGGCCGGGCGAAAAAGAAACTGCTTGGACGCCGCTGAAATCAGCCAGCAACCCGAGACCCGAGCGATATGTACCTACATACATACGGTATCACAAGGTGAGCGCCTGACCAAGACGCCGATAGCCATTGGCTCGCCGAAGTGCCAGCCCGGGTTGATCCGGCGCTACACACTGGCCGTGTGTGTTGACTCTGACCTCGCTGTCCCGTTCCATTTTCGACGGCAGCTTCTGGAAAGGCGACCTGAGACTCCCAAGAGATGGTTTGCGCTGGTAATCATCGCAAATTCGTCCTCTGACCACTCTTGGGTTTCTATTCCCGTACATCCGGGTGGACTTCTTGTCCTTTCGGCTAGTTACCAATCGACAGGTACCTTTTGGCGCGCCTAGCAGCCCGTTCTCTACATAGGTACCTTTAATTACAATACACATTACATCGCCGAAAACCCACTTCGCATCAACCCACCCACTATTATACGGAGTCATGAGTTTGTCATAGTTGCCCAGTACAATCAAGAATCAAGAATGGACCTGACGCATGGTAGGTCATAAGCAGACCCAGCATTTCGGAAACCTCGAATATTATGCTACCGGATAACTAGTCCAAGACTATGTATGTACATGTTTTTCGTCCGAACGCCGAGATTACCCCGTTCCACAACAATGACCGCTGATGATGAGCCAGCCATGAATCAGTAGGCCGGCACCCAGTGCCCAGACCTCGAGCTGCGCCGCAGCACTTCAACTACTTCTCCCGTACTGAGTCCAATGCTCAGGTCAATGTTTTCGTAAGACTCTCGTCTGTGAGAGATATGCACAACCGTGCAGTCGGCAAATGACTCGTCCATCAACTCCTGAATCTGTTGGTCCATCTCCACATCCAGCGAACTTGTCGCCTCGTCCACGAGCACAATCTTGGTATCCATAATCTCCTGGTGCAGAATTGCGCGAGCAATGAAGAGCAGCTGCTTGTGACCATGCGACAATCGTGCATTTACAATGTCCGCATCCAGTCCGCCATGCTTCTCAATATGCGCCCAGAGCCCAACTCCCTCGAGGGCAGCGATTATATGGTCATCCGCAGGCATAGGTGCGTCAAAAGGAAACATGTTGAAGCGGACTGTGCCCTTGAGTTCCACACCGTCTTGCGTCAGCGTTGTGACTCGAGAACGTAGGGTGTGGCGTGGGACTGTCTTGATTTCCCGGTTATCCACGCTGATGCTGCCAGAGAACTCAATCAAGTGTAGGAGAGCCAACATCATGGATGTTTTGCCACTGCCAGTGCGTCCAATAACGCTGACTCTTTGGCCATGCTGGATGCTCACTGTTGCATTACTGAGTGCTCGGCGCACCTCCCCGCCAGGACCTCTGTAGCTGGCAGTCACGCAATTAAAGTCAATTTTGCCAGTCGTCGGCCAGTCCTCCCCAACCTCAGGCATACCATCACGGTCCTGCTCCTTTGGCGTCTCCGCGCAAAATTCCTTGATGCGCGACAGGCCACCCAAACTCGTCTCCACCCGAACCCAAACCGACAGGAATAGTGACGCTGTAGAACTGAAAGATATAAGATTGAGGAGTGCCAGCCCGATAGCGCTGTCCGAGGTAGATTGCGGGAAAACCAGTGAGATACTGACCAGGGTGACGGCAGACACAAATGTCATAGTATCAAGCACAAAAGTAAGCCACTGCTGGATACAGTACAGATAATAGTATGGCTTTTGCGAGGAATCAAGACGTTGAATGAATTCGCTTTGGAAGTAGTATTGCCATCCAAAGCTGCGGATATGTGCCATACCCGAGCTCGATTCCGTCACATGTGTAATCAGCGGTGACGACGTCTCGAGCTCCAGTAGGCGCAACTGCCGTGAGGTCTTGAGATAATAGTGCTGGACAGTGTAGAGAGTAACGATGAAGAATACAATAATCGGTGCAGCGTACTTGGCTCCAGATGATATGACACCAATATCCACCAAAACATTGAAGAACATGGAAACAGATGCCATGAATAGTGTTGGTAGTGTCTGCGATATCAGGGCAATATCTTGACTGAAGCGGTTGAGGAGCGAGCCTGTGTCGGTATGGTTGAGGAAGGACAACTTTGCCTCCAAAGTCGACTGCAACAGGCCCCAGTGGAGCGCTGCCGATGTCTGTGGGACAATCTGTTTGAAGAACTGCACGCCAACGATTGAAATGGCAAGGATATCCGAAACACTCAACGCCACAAACCCCGCAAAGTACTTGTTATTGCTGGCGTCGACGCTGAGCCACACGCGCATAAAAATCTGCGGCATTCTCTCAAGCGCCGCTGCAATCGCGACGCCCAGAACCCACAAGAACAGCATAAAAACACTTGTGGAGCTAAAAAAGTAGCGGTAAAGAGAATAGTCACTCTCCTTTCTCTTATTGTCGTCGCTGACTTCCGGCGTTTTGGAAGTGTCGACAGTTGGTGGTCCTTTGACTTCGCCAAGGGAGTCTTCCTCCTCTTGGGCCGCCAACTCAGGAGTTTGCTCTCGAAAGCGCGAAGATGTTATACAATTACCAGAGTTTGGACGAGGAAGTGTCATTTGGACAACATTTCCGTGCTGAGATACCTCAAAGATCATGTCGGCGGCACCAAGAATGTCCAGATTCTTGGTGGTCATGATGACTGTCAAATTCCATCGGCGCAGAAGGCCGTTTGGCCCTACCAAGCGCCGAACAATCGTTGTAGCAGTAGCTTCGTCCAAGGAGCTGAGTACATCATCCAAGATGATGATGGAGCATCGCGAGAAAAGGGCCCGTGCTAGCCCTACGCGCTGTTTCTGCCCACCACTCAAGTTGCAGCCATTACTGCCCGTCATTGTTTGGTCGCCGTCAGCGAGATCATCTAGATCTTTAGCAAGATCGCACGCCTCTATGACGTCGTCGTAGAGAGATTCGATAAATGGGAATGCGCCGATGATGTTGTCTTGAATGGTTAGGTTCTGCAGCCATGGTGTCTGGGCGGCGTAGGCAATGTGTCTTGTCGCAATATTGATGGTGCCAGTGTCAATAGGCAGTTCTCCGAGGACAGCGCTGAGAAAGGCTGATTTGCCTGTACCGAGGCCGCCATGGACCATAACGACAGAGCCTGTGGGGATCCTCAGAGTCACGTCTCTGAGAATAGGTCCCGTCAGGTCAGATGTATAGGAAACATGATTCATTTCGACAGCATATGGTCCTGGCTGCGCCTGCAGACATCTCTTTTCAGCATAGTCTGCGCTTTGTGGCGTCGGCGGATCGTCCGCGTCACGTTTGTCGGATATTTCGGGGAGCAGCAGAAACTTTTGAATACGCATCAGGCATGCCCATCCGCCAGCGTAGTACGGGAGATAACCCAGGAGCTCGCTAATAGGTAGCGCAACAATTAAAATGATGGCGTAGGTGGCAAAGATTTCGGGTACGGTCATGGGATTGACGACTCGCGTCCAGAACCGAGCACCAGCAAATACGGCAACGGGAGCCATGGTGTTTCCGAAGGCATCTATAAAGTCCAAGTTAGCTTCAACACTCGTTTCGTCAACCCTAGAATGGTAAAGTTCTCACAGATGGCAAAAATAAAAATGCGTGCGTTGCGTTCGCTCATTGATGTTTCGATTTCGCTCAGTCGCTTTCCCTGTAGGAACTTCAATATGGACGTGGTCAGACCCATAGCTTTGATGCTCTTCAGCTGGGCTAGAACATTCGATGTAGAAGCGACGCGCGACTGTATTTTCTCGTTCCAGACTGTCCTTGCTCCTTGCATCTTTTTTGACGTATAGTACGTTGCTACCGAGGCAACTATGGATGACGAATATTAGCATGACCCTACAGCAGAACGAGGTTGGACTGGACATACTGATGGTGGGTACAAAGATCAAGAAACAAGCTGCGCCGACGAACTGGTAAAGAACAAAGATTCCGAGGCCAAGCTCAATGCAAGAAGCCCAGGTGGAATGCAGTCTAGTCAAGAGTTGGTCAAGGCCGGCTATATCTGCCGTCATGAGAGAAACTGCCGCCGAAGCTCCTAGATCTTCCATACCAAGTCTCTGTATTTTGTCATAGATAGCAACAACGAGAATCCCCCGTGCACATGTCTTTGCTTGATATTGAAGTCGTTCGGAAATTGATCTCGAGATCTGAATAGAGCAGCGTTAGCTACAACAGCGTATTAGTTAGCGGTGGGAGCGGCCACTTACCGCTAGACCGCCAAAGATCAACATTGTAGCACCAATAAGACCGTTGGTTTGGGACCGGGAGACTGTGGCATTGCTGATATAGTCCATGACGCGTTGCATTAGAAATGGTCGGCCGAACGAAAACCCAACCAGACAGAGCCGAGGTAATACTGGGCTGAGGAGTTCCCGGTAAAGTGTGCGAAATCCAGCTCTGACCAGTGGTCGTTTTGAATTGCTGTTGGCTATGGCTCTCTTCCAGAATGGGGTAAAACGGTCAAAAAGCTGTTCAGAACTGAACTGCTGGCCGATAGGTGGAAGGTCTTCCACTCTGAGCTTCTTCCGGGCGCCTTCCACCACGAGGCGAGTGACCCATATCATCATGGAACGGTTCCAGAAGCCACTGCACTGCTCCGCGCCCGCGTTATTGCGGGTTTTATCCGAATATAGCAGGTTGCGCTTCGGCATCTCTTCCAAGACAACGAGTACTAGCTTAAGCGAGGCAATTACAACTTGCAAAGCGGCGATGGCGCCCAAGCCGCCTCTCATGTAGTAAGACCGCGCCATAGTGATATCAAAGAGCATGGTGGTTGATAAGAAGATGCTGAGCAGTGCTGAAGATTGCACAGTATAGATGTGGGTGACGTATGTCATTGCCAGGACGCACAGGGATGCGACAAGGGACATGATGGATGCCGCGAGCGAGACAGGTGTTCGAGAGGTATGATGCCATAGAACTAGGCTGGTGAGTTGGATGGCGACGAGGGCAACGCTGACGGCAAGCTTGAGCCAGAGAAGCGCGCCGGGCCGGGCCTGACGAGCGGCACGAGCAGCCTTTAAAAATACCGGCAAGGCCAGGAGGAGAATTCCTGCGGGAACCAGGCCGAGCATGGCATGCTCGAACAAGATGGTGAAGTCGAAGCGACCGGTGTCGACTGGGCCAAACTGACCATCCATCTCGTCGAGCATGGTGACACAAGGTCCAGGCCGGACGATGAAGATGGAGGCAGTCGAGAGGATGGTTTTGCTGCAGAGTATAGGTAAAAGACGCCTCCGCGGAAAGCATCTGCGCCACCTTGGCTTTTGAGATGTCGGCGGCGGAAAAGAGGTGGAGGTGTAGCTATCCAACGAGACGAGTGTTGTTGGTAGCGTCGACAAGCGCCAGTGTTATGAGAGCATGGGAAATGGAAGACGGGAGATGGTGGGCAGGGGCTTTCCCAGTAAGCCACAGTTTCAACGGAAATGTCGGCCGCAAGCCTCTCGCATCTGTATCATTGCCAGGTTTGGTTGGAAAGCTGGTATACTGCGGAGAAGCCATCTAAGAAACGGGGATGATCGAAGCGGCCCGGGGCAAAAACTGCTTGGCCCATTTGGGGGCACAAAAGCGGCGTGGCACAGGCGGTGGGGATTGGAGGATCCTGAGGGGGGCTCGAGCAGGGAATTAAACAGAAAAATGAACAAAGGGACAAAAAGTAAAAAGGGATGGTGACAGCGTTGGTGGAGGTGGCCGTTCTAGCTTTGGTGCTTTGTGGTTGGCAGGTGGTCAGCGGCGTTGCGGGCGGAGTGCTGACGGAACGTGTTGCTGGCCACACCACCATGTTTGGCCGACGACCGATATTGGCTTTTTGCTCTCGGAGGTTGTATTATTTTTACCTAACCATCACACTACACACGTGAGCATATGCAGGGAGCGTCGAGAGGGTGCAGAGGAACTTATGACGCGCCTAGTCTTTTTGTCGCGTTTCCTACGTCTTTCCGTGCATGAGCGACGGAGGCAGATGGGATGTGGTTGGGTTGGGGGCCAAAAATGAGGGTAGCCAGACTTCATTCAATGTCTCATTTATCTTGGACTACAGATACAGTCGGCAAGGGCGCCTGGGATCAGACTTACAGAATCATGGGCGCGGGCACATAAGGGTCCCGTATGTAGTTGCCAGTATTACCTACGGAACAAATAAAGAGAGAGCCAAAGACGACGACTGCAGGCCGCGCGGGAAGAATGCATGGATGGTCGACCGACAACTGTGCAACAGGGTGCCGAGGGCGGCGGTGTGCCGACAAAGAGATGGCGCCGAAGCAAGTCAGATGGTAAATCCTAGCTATAGTTACGGCTGCCAAACTCGGTAGGTGTTTATAGTATCAATAACTTGAGTACCTGTTTGCTCACTTTCTTGAATTAGTGCAAACGAGGTTCCAGTAACGAACTTATTCGGTGCACAGCCGTCTGTTGCGCTTTTGACGACCTCAACAGCAGTTTCTCGGCCCGGCACGTGGATAGGCACAGTGTGACATGAAATATCTTGCCAGGTTCGTTAACGCGCAGTGCATATGATGGCACTTGATTTTGTCAGCACTCCTAACATGGGGATGTTAGTTTCTGTCTTCTAGTTACGGCAACACATGTCGCCGTGTTGCGCACCGGATTTCTCATCAATGAGCATGTACGCAGGCTGGATTATAAACGAGTTTTTGGTTGCACAACCTAGTTATTTATTAAGTAAACGAACCGATTATCAGCCTTTACTAGATGCGGTGATGCAATTGCTCTGTCTGTCCCTCGACAAGGACTGAGCGAGGTTCTCGGCGCCACAAAAAAACGGGAGCGGCGCCAGTCAAAAAGGCGCCTGCAGATTTCCATTGACACTAAACCCTTGCTTCACCGGAAGCTTCCTGTCTAGGCCTAGCCGGGGAGATCCTGCGGCGGCCGTTCACGCCTCCGAGCTAGCAGGGTCTTCGGCGCGCTGAGTTGGCGACGGTGCGCGGTGCTCTAACTTATCTGCGGGGAGATGGGGATGGAGACGGTGGTGGCGGGACGTGTCGCCATCAAGCTTTCGGCTCACACCATTCGTAGTTAGCAGATGCGCGGACTGCTCAACTCCGCCTCTCTCCAAGAGATGTTACATGGCACCACCAACATCCGGCTCGCTTCAACGCACTGCCAGCAATTCTATGGAAAGTGGCATGTCCGTCGGTCAGTCGTGGCGAGGTGCGAGGTGCGAGTGTGGATGGCTGGGCTGAAAAGACATTGGCCAAGGGAGGAGGTATCATGGGGAAGAATGCAAAAGGCGGGGTGATGAGTCTGATGACACGCTGACGTCTCTATCCCAACAGACTGGTTGAGGTACACGAACCGGTTGACGTCGGACGGGGACTCGCATCGCCAATTGGCAGGTAGTACATACAAGGCCCCCCGGTTGTCAATATTACATGGCATATTCCATGCATACAGGCTGGCCCCATTGCAGCTACACCATGTCTGTGTTGGTGTGGTGTGGTGTGTTGTGGTACTGTATTGTGCTCGTGCATTATCGTACATACATGGACTGCCGGAGGAGCGCACTGCTCAGGGCCAATTTTCCGCACGTGCCGCAAGGCTCTTGTTGGCTGGCCACTTCCGGCGATGCCAGCACTGAAATCTCCTTTCAGCTCTACCACCACCACTCACTAATAGGTGTTACCAGTGCTCAACGTGCCAATCGGACCAATTACCTGGTTCATATTGTTCATGTAAAAAATTGGTTACAAACACCACAGCCAGGCTCATGTCCTGTGCTTTGCTCTTGGATAGATACGTCTAGGGATACTCGTGCTCGTGCTGGTACATTGACATTCAACGCTGCGCCAAGACGCCCCCGGCTTGTCCTCGTCCCTCACAATACCCTCACGACGTATCTCTGCCTAGTATCTCGTCCTTGTTCGCAGCCGATGTCTCTGGCTTGTATGCGTCATGCGCAGACCTGATCGGGGAGTCTGAGATGGCCATGCGGCCTCTGAATAAAAGATTGCGGCTGCCCGTGTCCACTATGCATAGGGTTGCACTTGTTAGCAGACCAGCACTCGCAACATGGCCAGCACGGCCTGAGTCTTCAACTGTGTAATAATTACCTGGCTGCGCCTGCACAGTTGATAGCAGAAGCAGGCAAGAGATGATCGCCTTATGCATCATTTTGACTCTTTGAGGAACAATCGCAGGGGGGGAATACTGGCTTTTCTCTTCGCGTGGACGAGTCGTTGCAACACTTAATAAAAGAAAACGGGCACCACCGGCATTTTATCACGTGGAATTCGTCTTCTCCATTTTTAATGTCGTCCGCTTTGTTCTCTTTTCAAGTCTCGTTCAGCGGATGGATGGGCTTCCTCCCAGTCCACATGAATGGGCGGGAATGGACGAATGCCAAGAAGCTCTTAGCAGGGCCACCAGGCGTTTCCACGTTGGCCAGTGGCTGACGTGTTGATGTGTATTGTGTTTTTTATCCTAGTTACTTGGCTGAGAAAAAAGCCACATGGGGTGTGGCGCCGAGTCGGTTGAACCAAACAGCCAATATTCAAAAAAGTCGTTGTCAAAAGGGAATACTACAGTTGGTGTAGCTTCTGGCATTTCAACTTTCGATACATACCTAAGTATAGCAGGGAGGTGAGTCGCCACGCCTCCCGGCCGTGTGCTTGCAGATGTTGCGGGCAGCATGTAAAAGGATATGTGTCTACAAATTATAGTCTACGGCGTTTCCGGGCAGTGGTTTCTTATCTTGCAGATTGATGTTAACAAGCGACACATAGTAACGCACAACAAGAAACTAACTGAATACCGACAACATAGAAGACCCGTAGGATTACCTACTTACTAAGAGAATAAGAGAGCAGCAGCGACGCCCTTTTATATAATACGCATGAAATTATTCGACCCCTCTCACCCGATTCTTATTCCCGTTATTACTTGTTGTTCAAGGCGGTCGCTACTCGCCTCGGTACTACAGGGTAGGGTGACGGCTGGTGTTTCGTATTATGGAGGGGTAAATTTGACCCCTCAGATGACGCTGTGACGCATGACTGTGCCTGACACCCTGCCCAAGGGAGGGAGGGGTGAAGCCCCCTTGAGATTCATCGAACCAGTAAGAGCCATAAGCCTCCCGCCCAACAAAGCAAGAAAAAAACCTTGCCGTGGACCTCCAGTTATTCCGAGCAAACCGCCGTTGTCTACCTACCTATATGCGGCTCGGAACTCCTTACCCAGCCGTAGGCATAACAATAATGTCCCTACCAGGTAGCTACCTACCTACCTAGGTATGTAGGTAGGTACCTACCTGTGTAAATTTAGGCACCAAGGGACTGTTACGCGCCACCCGTACCCGCTCCGTCCGGGCCCAAGCCGAGCCCACGTTTATGACTCTTGCCCCCCTTTGTTGTATTTTTTCCCCAAAGGACAAGAAAAAATCCACGCGCTGCTGAAATTAAATAAACCCGATCTTCCTTTGACCACCAACCAACCTCGAATACCACCGGCTTCGTCATCGACCATTCCCACCTTCCCTATCCGACACGAACTGCAAATCCATCGAAAAGTTCGACAAGTCAATCATCATGCCTCCAGCAAAGCAGTGGGGTAAGTATTGCGCGCCGTGGACCAGACTAGGTGGCCTTTTCCTTGTACGCAAGTTTTGCGCGCAAATCCAGTGACAGAGGTCGTCGCATTTTTTCTTTCGCGGCCCTGTATCTGAATCTGGCGCATACTTGTGACGCGTGAAATCTGCTTCAAATCTTTTTTCTGTACATATTTGTCCGCGATCCGATATGTGCAGCCGGCTGACTGCTGAGTTTTCCTTGATCTGCAGACGATGAAGCGAGCGATTCCGATGCCTCCTCTCCTGTGGCTGTTGCCCCCCCCCGCCGACGACAGTTTGACGACGAAGAGGACGAGGACGACGTAAGAGCCTCACTCCGAATACAAACACATATATTACGCTCCATGCGTCGAGAGTAGGCGCTAACCCTTTTCTACCCAGGTTCTTGACTCCTGGGATGCCGCCGAGGACTCCGAAGTAGAGCGCGAAAAGGCCAAGAAAGCTGCCGAGGCCAAAGAGAAAAAGGCCGCTGAAGATGCCGCTAATAAGAAGTCAAAGCTTCAGCGCATCGCTGACCATCAGAAGGAGCGCGCACGCATGCGTGAAGAGGGCGAATCCTCTGAAGAAGAAGAGGACGAAGCCGATCGTCGTGCCCGCCTCCGCCGAACTGAGCAGGAAGCCGATCTTCACCACGCCGAGGATCTCTTCGATAGTATCGGAATCAGTAACAACCGTGCCAAGACCATCCCCGGCTCCAATGTTGTTGTTGACTCCAAGGACCCTGGTAGCACCGTTGACCTGGCCAAGCTGCCCATCTTCAATCCCCAGACGAAGAAGCAGTTCGAGCAGCTCCGTGATGTCCTGGTACCTGTGATTGCTGCCAACGCTAAGAAGGGCCACTATGGTCTCTTCCTCGAAGACTTTGCCAAGGAGCTCTCCAAGGAGCTGCCCAGCGAGCAGATGAAGAAGATTGCAAGCTCTCTTACCCGTGCTAGCAATGAGAAGCAAAAGGAGGAGAAGGCTGCCGACAAGACTGGCAAGAAGAGCAAGGCTGCCAAGACAAAATCTTCACTTGTAACCACACGTGCAAACACGAATGACATGGAGACGTACGACAATGATGCTTTTGGCGAGTGAGTGCAGACAACGCGGCAACAACTGTCGGACTACAACTGACGAAACATCCAGTGACGACTTTATGTGAAAAACGAACGTACAAATCGCCTCATTTCTGCAGAGTGGCTGGTGCTTGCTCCGACAAATCTTCAGCAGCACTATCGGCTCCCTCGGAATGTACATGGCGGCCGCAGTATTAAATGCCGCGCCAAGAAAGAGAGCCGCTCCATGGTGAAGATACAGGGAGAATACTAGCGCACCCCCCAAGAGCTTGGTTGAATGGACAACTGCCGAACCGACCCCCCCTTTTGCCCTGACCTTTGGACGGTGGCTCGGTTTTCTCACCATTTGAGGTTGGGGCATCGCAGTAGAAGGGGAAAACGGGACAACGCACTACGGCTTGGCTGATAGACATGACGGGAGAGGGGAAATTCTTGGGTTTGTTCTTGTCTTTTGTAATGTTTGTTTGTATGTTACCAACTATTTTCGCTCTTATTTTCGCCTTGCATTAGCATCCATCTACGTGTGGGAGATCATTCTGAGAATATACTTCACCGGGATTTGTTAGAAAGCAGACATCAATGTCCATTTGTATTATCGCTTCCGACATAATTGTAATTATTCGAGTACCACGTGGCAATAGGACTGTCCTTCCCCTCGTCATTCGCCCTCTGATATCTCGTGATGTATAGCATCATTGAAACCATGACCCATCGATGTCCTGCGTAGTCATCGTTGAGAATTAGTACAATATACAGGACGGAACTTGAGTCTTCGCCAAAGATTCATCCCGCCCACCCGTCCCCATCTCTCTCTATGTATAAAAATAATAATATGTGTCGCTCCAAAAACCATCGAAGCTCTTGCAAAACATCCCGAAAGATAAGAGGGTAAGAACCCGTACCCGAAGAACGCTGGCGCCAAATGCATCCTGTATAATTCTTGTTCTGCGAAACCTGAAGGCAGAAAAGGCCCAAAACGCCAGAAAGTAAGTTAAGAAAGAACACCGCCCGCTCTATCGCTTCAGAAAGTAGAGATGTTCGTTTTATGTGAAAGATGCGTGGTAGTCGTGGCTAGTCAGCCAAGCGCTGACGCTGTTGGTGCCACATGCATCAGACGACATTGCCCGCCATGCCCATGAACAGGGCGTGGACGGCGAGCGACAGGGTCCAGAAGCCCACCTTTTTGAAGCGCCGGACGCGCGAGTGGCGGTCTTCAATGTCCTGCGCAAAGGCCTCGTACGTCTCGGCGGACGCGTCGTCCATCAGACCGCAGTCGAACAAGGTCCAGGCGCCGTCGAAGTCGCTGACGCGCTTGACGATGCGGCACGCAATGGGAATGTATGTCTTTTTGGCGTTGATGTAGGCTACAATGGGGCGGACTAGCGCCTGGTTGACATATGACATGTCCTTGGTGAATAAGGGCATCGCGGCCTTGACGTCGTTGAGGTGGATCCGGAGATCCATGATGAAGAAGCGCCGGTCTTCGTCGCCTGGAGCCGAGGCCGCGGTCTTGATATCCTCTTCTGCTGGTGGCGGGGCCGTGGCGGCTTCTGATATGTGACCCGACTGAACCAGTAGGGGCTGATAGTCCTCCTCAACCGTGTCGCGAAGGAATCGGTTTCTGTTGGCCACGACGACGTCTTCGAGTTGGTCGTAAAAATCGGCCATGACCTTAGTAATGCTCTCATCATTGTCCGCGGGGAATATGACGTCAGCGACGATATCTACGTCGCCCTCGTAGATCCATCCAAAAGGGCCCTCCACACCACGATTTAAATGGTCAATTTTGAGCCCATCGATCCTGAGGCGGCTCGACTTCTTCCAGGCCTTGGTTTCATCAGCGTCCATGGGTCCGCCCGGATAATGATTGGACGGGATACCATGAACTTGACGAGGGTGTATTGTAAAGAGAGACCCGTCAAACGATCCGGACACGTGTGTCGCGGCTAAAAAATCATAAAAGAGCCACTGCTTCCGCAACTGTGGTAACTCGCAAGAATAGATGCTCACAGAAAAGGGCCGGAAGCCGTTTGGCTGGTGTATGGTTACCAGCAAATCTTCAAGCTTAAACGACTCAATCTCGAAATCGCCGGCTTGATGCTCGTGTCTGTACGAATAAGGGTCCACAGGTACAACTGGCCATCGTACAGATGTGCGATCGACCACACCTCGGACGCCGTTGACCTCCACGTCTTTCAGTAGACCCTTTCCGTTCCACCAATTTAGGAAGGAGAGCGTTACATTGACATTGGCAATCGTCACGTCAAATTGGGTGTAGTTGCCGTCATCTTCCATGTCTTCGGAATCAGTATGTTGTGCTTGACGACCAGCGGCGGCCGCAGCTGCTTCATCATATGATCCCTTGCTGACGGACGACTCGACTTGTCCTGGACGACGAGAAACAAAGACATTGCGGAACGCAATGACTCCATCTCCCCATTTGGGAACAATGGCCGATTCGAACACCACGGTGACACCTGCTGACTGCGTCAAGTAGTCTCCGATCCATTTCGCGAGGGTTTCTACAAATCATTAGTACAGGAGGAAATAGAGTAGAGTGAGAGGCACGGCTCACCTTGAGCAAAGACGGTGTTAATAGACAGGATGAGGAGGGAGAAAAACGTTGTAGTCCCGACCAGGATCCAAACTAAATGGCCAAATAAGAACCAGGAGACGAATGCTCCCCATTCATCCGCGTTCCACGGTCGCATGCTTCTAATGGACATCCATTTGAAGCGTACCCTTAAGCGTTCCCAGAAGCCGTTCGCTGCAGCCAGTAGCTCCTCCTTCGTCGGTCGATGGGGCATCTTTGGCAAATGTAGATACTTGGATACAGAGGCAGCTAATGATTCAGCTTGACTCTCTATCTTGGAGGAATCCTCTGTGCTTGAGATGCTTTCAGGCGTCTCGCCATTGCTCTTCGTTTGTTCTGGCTTTCCTGCTTTGTTTGTCGCCTCATTTGCTCGTACTTGTTTCTGATCGGATATACTGCTGCTGTAGGACCGCTTTGACAGCATCCATACTGTAGGAGGGTATCGGCCGTTGCAGGTGTATCGGTTCGGAGCGGGCGAAAGTACAGCAACGCCGACCGGGGGTCCCCGTGATTTTCGACTTCTGCTATTCTGCCTACCGTATTGCTTCGGTGCAAGAAAAGATGCAGCACGTAGAGGTAGTGAAAATGGAAGAGTCTCATATTGTCTAGAGATTTTTGATGGGTGAAAAGCCAGTTGTCGGAATGCTCCTAGACCTGTTGCAGGGGCAGATGGCAGTCCAGCCACGCCAAAGCGACCCCAGGCGAGCCACGACGGAATATATCTTGGCATTTTACCGTATCATGACGCTCGAAGGCGAATAGTAGGACGCCGTAGTGTGCGAAGCGATGATTCTGGTCTCGAAACTTGAATGCGAGAGCACTCCAAGTTGGACCAGTACCAGGTCCCAAATCCCAAATCGAGCATTTCCATGACGCGCGATAGTACCGGCGCCGCTTTAACAACAAACTGAACAAGCAACTCCCAGTGCTAACATGGCCTCGTCGCCTTAGAAAAGCGAGGGAGCTAGACCATATAAGGCACACTTGGCTAGTCCAATCGATAAGTCGGAGGAGCCCACTAGAAATTTTGGCAAGCCTGTGTGGAAAAGATTATCAGCAATCGTGTAAGGACCTATTTTACCCACTACAAATTTCAAACTGACGAATATACTATTTTTGACGGACTCGGATACGGCACCTTGCTGTCAAATCAAGCCAATCGTTACATAAGACTACTTGCTAAATTACAATTCGCAAACAACCCATCATGCCCGCGCCAACCGCCTTGAAGCAGCCGGACGAAGCCCCGCTTCCCTTTGAAGCCAGCGTTGTCGAGCAAGGTATGTCACAATGTCCGAAGCGCGGATAGTTGCAGCGCTAACCCTGTACTTATAAGGTGAAGATGAATTTATCCTCGATGCTTCCGAAGCTGTGACTAGCGAGGGAGAGTTCATGGCTCCCCAAGATTTCTCGGGCGATGTATCCATGGCTATCGACGAAGAGGGCCGACCTCGATTTGCGCCCGCCAAGGATATCGTATGTTACTGCCTGGAACACTTGGAGAATTATAGCTAACTTTTCTAGGACCCTGTAACACGAGTTGAAACTCGCAAAGTCCCGATCCCACCGCACCGAATGACACCGCTCAAACAGAACTGGGCCACCATCTACCCTCCTCTGGTCGAACACCTCAAGCTCCAGTGCCGAATGAATGTGAAGCGCAAGATGGTAGAACTAAGGACTTCCAAACACACCACCGACTCTGGTGCTCTACAAAAGGGAGAAGACTTCGTCAAAGCGTTTACATTGGGATTTGATGTCGACGATGCCATTGCCCTGCTGCGTCTGGATGACCTCTACATTGAGACGTTCGAGATCAAGGACGTACGGACCATGCACGGGGATAGTCAGGCTCGTGCTATCGGTCGAATTGCGGGCAAGGATGGCAAGACCAAGTTTGCTATCGAGAACGCTAGCCGTACGCGAGTCGTCTTGGCTGACTCTAAAATTCACATTTTGGGAGGCTTCAAGAACATTCACATGGCTCGTGAATCTATCGTTAGCCTTATTCTTGGAAAGCCCCCCGGCAAGGTGTACGGCAACCTGCGCACCGTGGCGGCGCGCATGAAGGAGCGATTCTAAGAAAAACAACACATTTAGCATGGGATACATTTGGTAGCAGCGATTCAACGGGCGTTCTGGAGTGTGGAGCATTTATCAATAAAAGATCTAGACGAGACGATAGACGGATGACATGAATACACCATTTTGATTATATCCTGGGAGAGCCAGTCGTTCTTGGCGCCGTAGGTTGTCGGGCTGGCTAGGAGTAAACTGAATCATGCTGATGCCGTTGAGTGGTAAATGTTACGTGACGGACAAATATGCAGCGCTATTGATAGCAACGGAAATACAGGTACCTACCTTTAGGCACTGGTATCAAAGATGGAGAAAAAGCACTTTTCTACCTAAAAGGGCCGATGCCGCGAGCGATTTTCTGCACTGTGTGACCAAGCCAGGACCACAGTAGACTTGACCATGAGGGGAGCCATCTTCGCCGTGATTGGAAAGGCTTACAGCGAGTTGATTCAACCCAATGACTGCGCAAATACGCTTTGATGGAAGGACCGTAGCCTCCTTGGCTTGAGGGGCCCTGTCTGGTGGATGGTTGCAAGCAGCGACATCGCCAAGTGGCTTGTCTGGTGGAAGCGTCCATCCACCTTCTGCCAACTGGTGGCATTGCAGCTAACAGGTATTATTAACTACCTAGGTACTAAGGTAGAGGTACTGAGGTGGCCCCGCTCTTTTGTTAACACTGATGAAACTGAGCCAAAGCCCACCAAACGACTGGCGAAACTGGTCGCCCAGTTGAGAACAAAGAGGGGGGAAATAACTAGGTAATTACGGAAAGATACAATGAATTATGAAGATGAAGGAGAAAAATAACCTAAGAAAGTGACAATGACAACGAAGATAACAATATATTACTACCTATCTACCTTACCAGCGGTTTATCCTTGTCCCTGGTGCACGGTAACACTGCTGGTTGCACCTCCTAAGGCTGGCTTTACTCCAGCTACGCGTTGCCCCTCTCTGGCCCCTCCATCTGGCTGATAAACAGCTTCCTGGCGTTGTTGAATTCTTTTCCTTCCAACATCTACCGCCCATCTTTTATACCTATTCCTCAGATTCATAGAATTGATCTCTATTAATCTCATCTCACGGTTCGTTCTTTTTTTATTTGACGCCCGTCGGTTCTTCCTTGAAATCCCACCATGGTACCCGTTGCACATCGTTCACTGCCCCGCCATACGAGCTTGTCCTGAGCTCGCAAGACTCTGCTGTTGAGGCATATTTCCAAATAGCTTCTTCGCAGAGCGCAACGGGCTCTATAGTACCTCATAACAACAAAATATATTTGCCATAGCTGTTCTGGTACAGGCTAGCTTTATACGCTTTCTGCAGTGCCGAGACACTGTCGACGTTCTCCCCATTTCGTCCCATCGCGGGGTCCTCTTGAAGCATCCCACCAAACAAACTACTAACCATCTCCCACTTCTCTAGAACAACATCACAACCAATTTCCACCGTCAAGATGGCCATCACCAAGGTTCACGCTCGTTCCGTTTACGATTCTCGTGGTAACCCCACCGTCGAGGTCGATCTCGTCACTGAGACCGGCCTGCACCGTGCCATCGTCCCCTCTGGCGCCTCTACCGGTTCGTCCCGACCACCCCTCCTCCTTTTGCGACTCAACGTTGTAACCGATTATCACAGGCCAGCATGAGGCTGTCGAACTCCGCGATGGTGACAAGTCTAAGTGGGCTGGCAAGGGTGTTTCCCAGGCTGTCGCCAACGTCAACACCGTCATTGGCCCTGCTCTGATCAAAGAGAACATTGATGTCAAGGACCAGTCCAAGGTCGACGAGTTCCTTAAGTCTCTCGACGGCACTGACAACAAGGGCAAGCTCGGCGCCAACGCCATCCTTGGTGTCTCCCTGGCTGTCGCCAAGGCGGGTGCCGCTGAGAAGGTAAAGTCACCCTCCGGCGAAACTGGCTTTGAAGACAAGATCGGAGATTTGGCTAACATGATACCAGGGTGTCCCGCTCTACGCTCATATCTCCGACCTCGCTGGTACCAAGAAGCCCTATGTTCTCCCTGTTCCTTTCATGAACGTCGTGAACGGCGGGTATGTGGATAAATAAAAACATCATTTTCAAGGTTGCTAATCGCTTTGTAGCTCCCACGCCGGTGGCCGCCTTGCATTCCAGGAGTTCATGATCGTTCCCTCGTACGTGTTTCCAGTCTGTACAGCTGCAGCAATCCAAACTAACTTGATCGCAGTCAGGCTGCTAGCTTCACCGAGGCTATGCGTCAGGGTGCTGAGGTTTACCAGAAGCTCAAGTCTCTCGCTAAGAAGAAGTACGGCCAATCTGCCGGCAACGTTGGTGACGAGGGAGGTGTCGCTCCCGATATTCAGACTGCCGACGAGGCTCTCGACCTTATCATGGAAGCCATCGAACAGGCTGGCTACACCGACAAGATCAAGATCGCCATGGACGTCGCGTCCAGCGAGTTCTACAAGACCGAGGAGAAGAAGTACGATCTCGACTTCAAGAACCCCGAAAGCGACCCCACCAAGTGGCTCACCTACGAGCAGCTCGCTGCTCTCTACGCTGACCTCTGCAAGAAGTACCCCATTGTCTCCATCGAGGACCCCTTCGCTGAGGACGACTGGGAGGCCTGGAGCTACTTCTACAAGACTCAGGACATCCAGATTGTCGGTGATGACCTGACTGTCACCAACCCTCTCCGCATCAAGAAGGCCATCGAGCTCAAGGCTTGCAATGCCCTCCTCCTCAAGGTCAACCAGATTGGTACCCTGACCGAGTCTATCCAAGCCGCTAAGGACTCTTATGCCGCCGGTTGGGGTGTCATGGTCTCGCACCGTTCTGGCGAGACCGAGGACGTCACCATTGCTGACATTGTTGTTGGTATCCGCGCTGGCGAGATCAAGACTGGTGCCCCCTGCCGCTCTGAGCGTCTGGCTAAGCTTAACCAGATTCTGCGTATTGAGGAGGAGCTTGGCGACCTGGCCGTCTACGCTGGTGCCAACTTCCGCAACTCTGTTAACCAGTAAATATGTTGCACAATGTTCTCGACGTGACGGGTAACTACTACTTACGGAGACAAATAAAAAGAAACAAGTGATTAATAAGTAAACGGACCATATATGAGTCCTATATATGGGCAAAATAAAGCAAATTTCCTGAAAAATCCATTTTCTCGTGTCATAATAAACGAGTTGCTGGCGTCTGTTGGGCTGCGCTGTCGAGCGGGTTCCATATTATTCTTAGTGGGCCCACCACCTACCTTGGTGCCCAAGTGCCGTAGGCAGCGTCACCACAGCAACAGGCCGGCCAGGCACAAATATCTCATGAAAACACATATAAAACATGATCACAGTGCGCATTGCTGGCTACCACATACTCCCTTGAGTGCTAGTTACACTAACCTTGACAACAAAATCGACGCCAGAATCGCGGTTAAGTTCTTGCGCGCATCACGATGGCGCCCTCGGAAGAGCTCATCAACTTCGACGTGATCGAAGGCCAAAAGGAAAACATTCAGTCACTTCCTGGAGGTCGCTCAGCCAAAAAACTTCATGCGCTGTATTCGCCTACGGCGCTGCAGGGCCTCTCGACACCAACCCCTCCCAGCGCCAAAAATGTCAACGACTGCATCCGTGCGGAGTACGAGGCAGAGGTGCAGAATATCTCCGAATCTGACGACCCCCTAGATGTTTATGACCGATATGTGCGCTGGACGCTGGACGCGTACCCCTCTGCACAAGCGACACCCCAATCGCAGCTTCACACACTGCTCGAACGAGCGACAAAAGCATTTATCGGCTCTCCACAATATAAGAATGACCCACGTTATCTGAAGCTCTGGCTGCACTATATTCAGTTCTTCGCGGATTCGCCGCGCGAGACATACATGTTCCTATCCCGTCACGGTATTGGTGAGGGCCTCGCCCTATTTTACGAAGAATACGCTGCGTGGCTGGAAAGCGCAGGCCGGTGGGCTCAGAGCGAGGAGGTGTACAAGCTAGGAATTGAGCGTGAAGCGCGCCCTGTCCAAAGATTACTCCGCAAATTCAAGGAATTCGAGGAGAGACAGGCACAAACTCCAGAAGCGGCCGATGTTCCCTCTTCACCGGCTCTGCCTAGCATTCGCCCGGCGCTGGCTGCAAAGGTCGACCCATTTGCCGCCGCTGCCGCTGCTGCCCGCGCGGACCCCCAGGCAACGCGTCCAACCGGCACTGCAGGCGGCTCCTCAAAGCCAGCCAAATCGAAGTTGTCCATTTTCTCAGACACAGAAGCCAAGCCCTCTGCGCTGTCCTCGAGGGAGGAAGGCTCCAAGGGCTGGGAGACTATCGGATCACTTGCGGACCGCAAAAAGGAGAACACAATGGAAGCGCGGCCTTGGGTCGGTGAGACTCTAAAGGCTGGTGGTAAGAAACCTGTCGCTACAGCAAGGATGGCGGTGTTTAGAGACACGGTAAGTTTTCCTTCTACTACACCCCCCTGTGCCTTCCTCCCATTGATGGCCTATTAGGACTAATGTATTGGTTGAATGTGTACTTCCTGAACGCAGTCTCTTGCTCAGATACAAAATATAGTTGTTCTTCCATCAAAACATCAAGTAACAGTACATCCGCAAACGGGGAAGAAGGAGTATATTTTCGTCGACCTTGCTGCGATTTACCCTACGCCAGACGACCCTGGCACGGAAGTCAGTTTTGAGGAGATCATGGCAGCCACTCGTGGCTGGCTAGATTGTGCATGGGAAGACGAAAAGGTGGATGAGCGTCCCGGCGAAATTGCAATGCAGCTGGAAGCGATTGAGGAGATCAGCAAGTTGGCTATTCACAGGGATACTGTCATGTACGACGAAAATGGCGTGATGCTGCAACACTCAAATGTGCCCAAACCTAGCAAGAAGAAGAAGTTCATGGAAGTAAACGAGACACAGATCAGTGAGTGATATGTGAGCCCAACACTGATGAAGTCACGCTAACGATAGCACAGTCAAGGCCAAGTTGGATTCCCCCTCAAGACCAAAGATAAAGAAACGGAACACGTCAGAACCGACGATGACGCTGCACACAAGAGCGGCTACGGACGATATATATGACATTTTCAATGCCCCCATCAAACCCATCCCGGAAAATCTTAATGAGAGTGCCGATGAATACGAGTATGAATCAGATGGCGAGTACACTACCGATGCGGAAAGTACCGTGGCGACTCGTATCATTGAACCCAGCGAGAATGGAGATGAAGAGATGACTGATGTCAAGAGTTTGAGCGAATGGTCAGACTTTTCAACTCGCAAGCATGCTCCAGATACCAACGGCGAAAGCAACTATGCGTCTGATGCCACCAATACTCATAACGAAATTGTCACCTCACAACATCTGGACCCAACAACAAACGAAGAAATGGTGGATGAAGTCGATGGGCAACATGCTACTGAAAACTCACCTCCACAGACCAGGACAGTCTTTGTTCCTATCCCGCCTGAGGATTGGGAGCCTCCTACTCGTCCGTATAGAGATGCGGCCGAGGTGGCCAACAACAGACTACCCTTTATGACGCCCATCACGGAGCGAACCGAGGTATCTCTTGATCTCGAAGAAGACTACGAGAACCGCGTCGACCACTTTAAAACTCCATGCAGACGCGAAAACTACCAAGCTACCGGCCCCTTTCATACTGACTTGGAGTTTCTCAGTAGCCCGCTGAGAGAAATCGTTGAGGATGATTTTCCGGTTCCCAAAATCTCTACCACACTCAGAAACAATTTTACACCCCTTTCAGAAAAGACAGCCAAACCTCTGCCCAGAAAAGGTCCTATCATCAAGGACGTCATGTGCAATCCCATGGATGAGAATGTTCGCAAGGAAATCCTGGCTAATATCCAACCCCCCTTGAGCTCCTACTCTGGATTTTATGACCAGCGACACGATCAGTCTGAACGCAGTGGTGCTATCCGCAAGTTCATCAAGGCGCTCAACAGCAAGCCAGGCAAATCAAACGGCGAACGAGGCGCTTCACTTCCGCCACAGGTGGTGCTTGATTTTGCCAATGTTGAGGCGTCCTATACGCTGAAGAGAGAGCTTGGGGCTGGCGCATTTGCCCCTGTCTATCTCGTTTGCAACTCGAACCCAGAGGACGCAGCCGGTGACGAGAATGCGGCCGCTGTCATGGGCAAAAGCACGCTTGCCGTCAGCAAGCGTGCAGGCCTGGAAGCTTTGAAAATGGAGAGTCCCCCAAGCCCGTGGGAGTTTTACATGATGCGTCTTTCGCATAGTCGTCTGGGACCCCAGCACCGCGTCTCCGCGTCTCTCTCGCACGCCCATGAGCTGCACCTCTACCGAGATGAGGCATTCTTGTTTCTTCCCTATCATCCTAATGGTACTCTGCTCGACGTGGTCAACTACTTTCGTACAGAATCCTCTGGCGTAATGGATGAGCTGCTGGCCATGTTCTTCACCATTGAGCTCTTCCGGACCGTTGAAGGTCTCCACGCCAAGCAGCTATGCCACGGTGATCTCAAGGCCGACAACTGTCTGCTCCGTCTGGACGAGCTCTCCAGCAACTCGCTTCTGGCCAACAAGTGGCGTGCCGATGGCGGCGGCGGTTGGGCCGCGCGAGGCGTTACATTGATTGACTTTGGCCGCGGTATCGACATGCGCGCCTTTGTACCGCACGTTGAATTCTTTGCTGACTGGAAGACGACTGACCAGGACTGCTCAGAGATGAGGGAAGCGAGGCCGTGGACGTGGCAGATTGACTACTATGGCCTCGCAAGCACCATTCACTGTTTCCTCTACGGCAAATACATTGAGACAGTGCGCTGCGATAGCGGCGGCATCGGCAAGGGTCGCAAGTACAGAATCCGTGAGGGCCTCAAGCGTTACTGGCAAACGGACATTTGGAGCGACTGCTTCGAAGTACTGCTCAACCCTTCCTCATTCGTTGCTGGCGAGGAGGGAGGCGCCATGCCCGTCCTCAAATCGATGAAGAGGGTGCGAGAGCGCATGCAGACGTGGTTGGAAACGAATAGCGACCGGGGGGTCGGACTCAAGGGCCTGATCGTCAAGCTGGAGAACTACGTCAAACTAAGAAAGTAGTCACCAGGCTGCTACAAGCATAGTATGGAGTTTGGTTGGGGCATCTCTCTTGTTTTACACTAGTATGCTGTACTTGGAGCTGAGTAACTGATTAGGGCATTTGCGTTCATGATACCACATTATTCTGTATTTGATTGTTGATGAGGGAAAGACAGAGTAGGATACTTATAGACCTTGAACACACAACTCACATTGCATCTCTCTACTCGCCCCCACCTTGAATTCTAGTCATGCAAATTTCTTGACAGAGGAGTACCAGTTGACATGCAGTACAGTCTCGTCAGACATGAGGGTGCTACCGCTCTCTCGTACTTTCTCTCATTCAGTCGCTCTCATCGTCGGTATCAGCAACCCTCTTCTTCTTCGCCGCCGTTGGCTTTTTGCCACTGGCTTTGGCGCTCTTCTTGTCCACTTGGTCCTGTATCCGCTGCCGTTCAGCTGTGCCACGCTCCTTGAGCTCTTTCTCTAGCGCAGCGAACTCGTCACTATCGGCATCCATGCCGATGAGGCTCTCGAGGAGCTTGATCTCGTCGGCCCAGACCTGCTTGTCCTCGATGCTCTTGCCCTTGGCGTCCTTTTTGTCAATGGGCGTCTCGAGGACCATGGGCAGGCCGCAAAAGGCGTCTTCGTTCATGACGCTGTGGAAGGCGCGTAAGCCGAGAAAGCCTGTACCAATATTGGCGTGTAAATCTCGGTTCGAGGCAAAGGGGGCCTTGCTGTCGTTCACTGTCATGTGTGATGTCAGTAGATCGGGAGCAAAAATGAGGTATTGGTACACGTGCGGTGGAATGCTTTTAGGTACTTGATCCCAACAATCTTCTTGAAATTGTCTAGCGTTTTGCCGAATGCTTCTGGCGTGCGCAGGTCATGACCGGCGGCGAAGGCATGGCATGTATCGATGCATACACCGACGCGGGACTTGTCGTCTACCAGGGCTATGATATCCCGCAGGTCCTCCCAGGTTGAGCCAATGACGTTGCCACTACCAGCCATGTTCTCTAGCACAGTGATGACGCTGGTCGTGGCCTTGTGCGATTTGTTGAGCTGGGCCCCGATGCGGCCAATGGCGGCCTCGCGGTTGTCGCCAAGCGTGGAACCTGGGTGGAAGTTGTAGAGCTTGATGCCTAGCTGCTCGCAACGTGCTAGGTCATCGACAAAGGCGTTATACGCCTGCGCCGCTTTGGCTGGATCTGACTGCGCCAGGTTAATGAGGTACGAGCCGTGCGGGAGGGCGTGTTCGGCAGCTTTGTAGCCATGGTGCGAGCAGCCGCTCACGAACAAGTCCTTGGCCTCGGACGCAATGGGTGGATTGTCCCATTTGCGCTGCGATTTGAGGAAGAGCGCAAACGCGTTGGCGCCAATATGCACGGCATTGGCGACGGAGTTGTTGACGCCTGAAGGGCAAGTTTAGTCTGCTGCTCGTCGCTATTGATATCCATATTGAAGAATAGGTGGCATACCACCAGCTGCGCTCACATGAGCGCCAATGTACATTGCTTTCTTCAGTGACGAGACTGCGGTGCGGTCTGACAGCGGCATCGTGTCTTCTCCCCCTTTGGCTATCCTGCGCTTTTTGGGCTGCGGCGTTGTGGCTGTTGACTTCGTATTTAGAGGACTCTCGTTTGCGGCTTTGCGTTTCGAGACAGGTTTGGCTGCGAGATTGGCTGCTGCCAACTTGAGCGACCCCAGAGCTTTGCTGGTGGCTGATGGCTTCTTCGCTGGCTTATCGTCTTCTCCCTTATAGCTCACAGCTGGTTTTTTCCGTGGCGAGGAACGCGGCATCTTTTATCTGGAAACGTTGATGGTTAGTGGGAGAGGATGCCACCCAAGGCTCTGTCATTCGTAGGTTCTCGTAGGTTGGCTAGTGGCGCGACTCGCACGCGCAGCTCCCAGCGATCCTCACGCGGTGTCATGTGACACCACTTTATATTGTGAAAAACTCAACACTTTACCACAAGCAACGAAGTCAGTCAAACGGCGCCCAAGCAATCAGAAGAAGGTAAAGTTGCAGTTTGACAGTCCGCATGACCAGCGCTATGGGTTTGCCAACACGTTAACAGGGAGAGAACTTTCAAAATTGCCACAGCTTCCCCCCAGCTCTCCCCCCAGCTCTATAGCATCTCTTCAAATCCGAAATCAAGTGCCGTGAATTTAACAAGCTGTCTGTAGCTACTATTTAGCTAACAATCTCCATTTCGCTTACACGTCCCGGAACAAAGTGGTCTTTGTACATTTCCCAGAGGCTTTCCAACTCCTGAACATATAGCTCATGGTAGTGATCGATTTCGTCAGTTGTGGGCTGATGACCGGGGGCTGAATGTATTATAATAGGCTTGCCGATAACGACGTTGACAGGTCTACGATAAGGCATGAGACCGACATCGTAGTTAAGGAGGCCGCGTCCATGAAGGGCTGGTAGAGTGAACTTGAAAACTTTAAGGGTAAACATTTGAAGTTTGTGCACAAGAGGGTGGGTTTTCGGGCTGAGCTGATCGTAAATATCGTTCTCGCCAAAGCCAATCACGGGAACAAGGTCAGCACCGCTACGAAGCGCCATCTTGACGAAGCCCTTGCGCCCTTTGAGGATCAAACGAAGAGTACCGGGCTGCGCCTCAAGAGACTCGCGAGCGCCTCCAATGACAATGGTAACAGCACGACCCTGACCATCGTTCTTAGGGCCGCCCTGGCTCAAAATATTGCGGATGGATTCTTTTGAGACAGATCGAACACCCATGGCCAGAATCCAATCTCTGTAGAATGGAATGCGAAAGTTCGAGTCCAGAGTGAGAATGCTGTTGGTGATGCCAGGAAACTTTTCTCTGAAGCCGAGGGCATTTGTCGCGAAGGAACACCAAGCACCATGAGAAATGATACCGTGTGGGTGATAGCCGAGGATGAATCGCCTCTTTGGGTCGAGATCAAAGGTCTTGTGCAGGCGAATAGGGAAGTAACCGGCAAACAGCTTCCACAATGGCAACGAACGCAGATACTCTGAGCGATAAGCCAGTTTACCATCAACAGCGGCTGTGGAAAAGGTAAGGTGCAACAGATACGGTATCAATATTGGCCACATGAGAGGATTGGCGCAAGTAAACCAGAACATGGAGACCAAGACGACAATGGACATGCAGTGGAAGAGCACTGCCCCGGTTTGCAGACGCCGGCGCAAGGGCACTCGGAGAGGTGCGAAACGGATGCCACCAGCCTTCCAGGCATTCGCCTCGCTGTTACTGAGAGACCTTTCGCTTCTAAGAGCGGGATATTTCGTCCTAGTCGATCCGATACCATTCAAAACCAAAGTCGCGGCATCCACGTACGATTTCGAACCGCGTTTCGTAGTAGGTTCGCTGGTATCATTCGCCGGACCATTTATCTGTGTTGCACTTTGGCGGAAAACAAAGGATGCAGCGGCTTCATCAACCTGTTGCTTCAAGTCAGACCAATGCACACAACACAGGGCGGTCTCCCAGCAATCGACATACCGACACATCCTTGGTATCTAGTTTAGGCACAGTTTGAACCTTCTCAAAGCCTTCTGTTGCGTCTATTTGAATCCTGGCAGTTAGCAGAAGTTCCCAAATTGACACTCCTAGCGCTGGAAGTGACATCAACCGGACGGCGCTCCGTCCCTGTCGCATAGACGTAGCTGTCTAGAGCAGCGGGCCGGCAGCGCGGCTCATCGAAGATTCGCCCCAGCATCAAGAAAACATACCGCTCGGGGGCAAGCCCATTAATGCGCTCGCCATGGTTTTCTCAGGGCGAGTCTCACGTCGGACGTTGATTGAAACAGACAGATAATCGGTGTTATGGTCAGAAGGACGAGGGCAGACGCTAATACAGGCAGCGTCGAGGGAGGGGTGGCTGGTAGCGTCACACCACACAAGGCTGTACAGGAGGTGTGGCCCTGTCGATTCGTGCACAGCGTCCTAACGAGCCACGATGGGATATGTGCTCGAATAGGTATATATCCCGAGCGAGTGAGAGAGCAAGAGCGGCGAGGCTGCAAGTTTTCTCTCGCCCTCCTTGGACTCCTTCTAACTGCAGGCGCCGCCAGAGCTGGGTACGGGCGGCAATGACGTTGACTGCCGCTAAACTGGCACGTGAAATTGGTCGGTGCTGGCGAAAGGGTGCAAAAGCAAGCCACAGGAGCGGCAGCGGACACAACAAGCACGTGCAGACATGTCCAACACATCCCACCAAACTATACCACCTTCAACATTCTAGCTCGGTGGCGTGTAGTTTTCCAAAGCTTGGGATGGACCGCGCTCACGAAAACAAAAAGAAACGAAGGGATGTCCACAATTCCGCTATGGTCTGCCTGACTTGTCCTGTGGGAGTAAAATCGGAAAGATGGCAAGAGAAGTGTATAATACAACATATAGAAATAATCATCAAGAAACAGATATGCCTGGTTTGTTGTTCCTTAGCATTATGCAGGATCGCAACACAGACCAAAAATCAAGCCATCATCCTGTAACGCCATTTTCCCATTCTTAAAACGTCCCGTCTCCCTGCGCTTCATGACTGTCGGAAGTTAGGCCGGTCCAGTTGCTTTTTTCGCATGCACACCAATGGATACAGATAGGCAATCAACCAAAGAGCCTAGTTCAACTGCTGGTACCAGACTCGAGCTCTTCAACGCGGGTTTTGAGGGTATCCACCTCTTCGACTAAGCCCTTGATTTTCTCTTCGATGGACTGCATATATGCCCAGACACTTGGATCGCTCTGCGCAAACATGTTAGACTCTGCTGGGGATCTTGCGTGGTTGTAACCAGCCGACGCCGGGGGCCCTGGGAAACTAGGATGGGACGAGCCAGGCAATTTTGGTCTCTGCCCGAGAGGCGGTGACTGATGCCGCGCAGATTGTACTTGCTGGGTTTGCTGAGGCGATCGGGGGCGGCCAGGAACCGGTGGCTCGTGAGTGGGTAGTGCGGGACTCAGAGCCTTGGGACTTTCGGTCAAACTGTTCTGAGAGTACAAGCCTGTGTTCCCGCCGACTGTTGCAGCAGACGATATGCTGGTATTTCCAGTGCGGGCCGTGCCCATGCTATTAGGAACGGACGAAGCTGTGCTGTTGCTTGACTGGGTCTGGCTCGCATTGGGTGGGTATAGCCCACTTGCCATGTTAGCGGTAGGTCGAGGTCCTGATGGAGGGTATGAACGTGATTGCGCCGAGTATTGATCCGGCTGGTGACCAACAGCAGGAAGGCTTTGTCGACGCAGATCGTCCTCATCACCATGATCATAGGTCATGCCGGACATTGCAGAATCATCGCCTTCAGCCATGCTGCCATCCATTTCATCACCTTCGGCAAAGCTACCCAAGCTGAATCGTCGGCCTGCACAGCCGCCGGCTCCCTTTGCATGTCTTGCCAGTGCATCACCTCTGGCAAACTTGCGATCACACTTGGGGCAAATATGAGGCTTTTCTCCAGAGTGAAGTTTCCCATGGCGCTTGAGGTCGTGCAGACGACGGAAGCGCATTTGGCATTCGGTACACACATAAGGTTTTTCTTGGCTATGCGTGAGCAAATGACTCTTCAGGTTATGATGTCTCGTGAACTCGGTATTGCAGTAGGGACACCTGTGCTTTTTGGTGCCAGAAGATGTTGGCGAGTCTTGAACAGGTGATGGAATGGGGTAGGTCATCCCTCTGTGATTTTCACTGAGGTGAGGAGTATTGAAGGAGGAGCCGGGGTACGGCATGGAGCTGGTGGTGTGATGGCGCCCTTCCTGGCCTTCAATCTGCTCGGGAGACAGGTGCCCCCCTTCATCAACGTCCATGGGACCTGGGCTGGCAACAAGCTGTGGTACAGCAGAATTTGAAGTTTGGTCTGAGGCGTTATCAGGGACGCTCTCCTCCAGGCGAGCAGCACTATTAGCAGCAGCAGCGAGGGCGCTGGCCGCCTTGGCTGCTGGCTCCATGTCAGCGGTAGGCGCAAACTGGGGTGCGTCTGTTGGACGGCTCATTGATTCGATTCCGCCCGACATGAGTGAGGTAAGGACTTTATGACTCGGGTTGTCCGTTGTTGATAATGGTAGTATGGTATCGTCTCGTTTCTGTAGCTTTCTGCGTTGTAGGTCTTCTAGAGCTGCCGCGCCAGTCAATTGCACAAGGGAGTGAACGCTGCCCAAGGCAATGCGAACAGCTTTAGCAGGGGATTCGAAATGATTGGTTCGACCAGATGGAGAAGGCAAAGACGGATAAAGGTGTTCGCGCTGTCGCTTTGTGCCAGCCCGGGCGGCCGGATCAGAAGGGGGAGCGTCGGGTAGACGAGTCGTGGAGGGAGGCGCGGTAGAGGGATGAGCAGAAGTGGCGTCAATGTCGCCTCTAGTAGATGCCATAAGACTCGAATGCGAGAAAACAGTTCAGCGCAACAGAAAGAGGAAGCGCAGAAAGCATTCGAGTAACACACAAAGAGCGGAACATCAAGCGGGCATGTCGTCCGCCGTCTACCAGTAGTGCTGTTTTTTTTTGGCGAAGCGAAACGAACGTGTGGCTGATGAACGTGGCGAGAGCTGGAGGTGGATGATTAATTTTTTTCGGCCTACTTGTTGACTCGCGCACGGAATGCACGTGAGAGGCAAGGGCGAGGATGCTGTGGCGACACGTGCAAGCGTCGGCAAGCAAGACGAATTGTTGAGATAAAGTCGATGGGCGGACAATGGGAAGGAGACGTGGAACAAGTGGTCGGGTAGGTAGTTGGATGTAGGTGAAGAGCAATAATTAGTGACGATGGGGAGAGGAGGAGGAAGAGGCGACTTGTTACTGGGGCTGGGTGCTGGGCAAGGCCGCTAAGCAGGGCTGGCGACTGGGAAGCAGCTGGGGGGAACGGCTGGGGTGGGACGTCACTCTTGACATAACACAGCAACAAGCAAGCAGCATAGTAGTACTGGTACGGACTAGTACCTAGCAGTACGAAGCCCGACGACTTGGAGGGGCCGGGGTGCGAGGCTATGGTAATGTGTGTAACGATGACCTTTTGAAATAACTACAAGCACCTTGTGTACATACCTAGGTACCCAGGTATTCACTTACCAACGGTCCGGCTCTTGTTGGTCTAAGCGACGTTTTAATTGGCGGCCGCCTGCCAATGTCGGCGCCTAGGTACCTGGTAGTGTCCGTACCTAGGTACCTACCTACCTATGCGGCCGCTACGTTGCTACAAGAACAAAACGTTGTCAAAAGCGTTATTAACCATGGCTCTGTCGTTGAGGTCCAACGAGGTGCCAGAGCTTGATTGATCTTATGCCTGCTGCAAAGCAGACCCTGTGGCTGGCTGGGAGGTGGCGCCGTCATCGTCCAACTCTCACCAGCTCATCATGGGTACATACTCCCTTGCTGCCCTAGGTGTTGAGTTCTACAAGACAACTTGACACGTCCCCCGTTTGCTATGTCTTCACAGTAGTGACACTGTTAGGTTGCTATTAGTATGTCCATATTAGAGCACCTTTGGTTTTTTATAAGCCCTGTTAGACACCTGACAGCCAGTAACCGCCCTTCACTCGCGTACCTACCAGAGGTGAGGTAGGTTCCTGATATGGACTACAGGTACGCATTTGTACTGCAGGCGAAGCCAGTCCTGGCGAAACCCCGCCAACTGCCCATCCAGCCCCTCACGCCACTCGCTCACCACTATCACCAACCCACCCGGCAACACATGCTGACATGACTTTGTCGTCGTCAATGACACGTTTTTTTGCTCCATGGTTTTTTTTAGGCGGTGGACGACCGACTTGAGTCTCATGTGGCGCAAACAACTAACTGCATCGCTCCCTGACTATCTGTTGATCCACGGCTTCAAGAGAGCGACTCATACGCTAATACGCCCCAACAACAGCAGCCTTCTAGTTATTATTGTAAGACGCTTCTGGGAACATGTAAGAAGCATATGCAGACCAGCGACACCTCTACCTTGAACAAAACATGTTTGCGCTGATGCTGTCATCAGATTCCGCCGCGCGTCCAGCCCGAGGCGCAGTCAGTGGGCCAAACCAAACAACATCTGCGCTAACAGAGCAATATGTAGGCATATGCGCCGCCGACCCCAGTACCAGCAAATTGTGGACATGGTCAGTGTTCCTGGCTGTCGCTACAGTTGTGGCTGAGGACCTTGAACAAGCACGCAAGGCTGCCAACTCCAAACCACGCTCGCGAGGCTGGATGGCAAAAGTGTAACTAAAACACAAGCTTGGCGCATAGCCCTACTTGTGACAAGGTAACTGCAAAAAGATAGCTTGTACGAAGTGGTCAGGTGATGCCATGATTTCGTTATTCCTCTCCCTCTGCTTAATTAGATTCCTGGTTGACAAAACTCAGAACTAACTACGCCTTGGTGTCCGATTGTTCCTCGAATCAAGGACGGCATTAGTAACATCAACGGCACAAGTAACAAGGTAATAGTAAGGGCCGTACCACCGGCACTAGCAGGTAGTTATCCCGGACCCAATTCCTGCTTGGTCCACCACTTCGTGCAAGCAAACCCACAATCGTCATTGATCTTCAAACCAATGTTATGCTGATTATGTATCTCTGTTATGCCGTCGCATGATGTTCTATTGCCATCATGCGCAGGATTGTACTTCATGACTTGCGCCCTGCTACATCAATAGAGTTCAGCCCTTTCTTTTATCGCGTAGATAGCAGTTATCACATGAGCCTCGTTGATGTTGATGAGATGGCAGTCACTCTGACATATGCAGCCGCGCTACTCGATGAGTAATTACTATTTCATGTTTTCCCCTCAACCGCCGGGCACAGCCGCTGAACGGCCAACCATGCTGTACACCCCGCGAGATGCTATACTGGGTATTGAATAACGCAGTAGTTTGTAACTAGCGTCAGTTGCTACAGTTTGTTGTTATCCAAGTCTTGGACTCCCAGTCATGTATCCAAAACATGGTGGTAGCTGATGACGTAGTGGATATGTGCCCCATTGTAGTGTGCCTAGGAGGTACCTAGGTACCTACCTGGTGGTCAGCTTATTACAGCCAGCCACAACCAGGTTTTTAATAACTACCTAGTATACCAACTTGTTAATAACCACTGGCTGCTACATACAGACAGTTCTTATCTGAGCTAGTTAGATTCGCACTCTCTGCCATTTCCCGGGTTTTGTTAACTAATTGTCTACCACAAAGCGCAAAGTTGTCAACCACTTTGGCGACGTGTTTTTGGCTACAAATTAGTTGACACAACATCAACTAAAACTATATGTAGATTATTGATTATATAAAAGTCATAGAATTATAGAGAGGGTGCTCCTACTCTATACTCAATTCCCTATATATGAGTGCTAGCTATTCTACTGCACTTAGTATTATTCGCGCCTGTGTTCCTCTATTAAGTGTTTTCCTCTGCTACTGCTAAGCTGTAAATCAGTAAACATACCTATTGTTGGTGTGATGGACAAATAACTACCTAGTAAAGGCCCATTTCCCGTTGTAACTTGGCAGCTTGAGTACCCCCTAATACTACCAGACCCCCCAAAAGCTACCGACAATGACGCGTTAAAGAAGTTCATCCTTGACGAGTCCCCCCCACCAGATCGGCAGGCGAAAAATTGCCGACTGTTTGCGGACTGAGGACCAATGACATGTTATGCATGACCTACCATGAAGCAGAAAACGAAGACAAAACAGCAATATAACGCTTGCTGAGCTTGGCGCGAAACGTCCTCATCAAAATCAGCTTGAAACGGAACCAGTCGTCGCGCCAAATCCTTAAAGACGCCCAAGAATAACCAGCTCCCCGTGAGAAACTTCAGACAGAACGCATACAATCTCTAGGTGGCGATGTTGTTGATGTGTATCCCTGGCTGATTCCAACGGTCGCTGAGATCACAGAAACAGATATCGGGAGCGACAAGGGAGAAATCGAGTCAACTTGGTTACTCGTGAACCGTCCGTTTGTGGACTCAAAACGCGGTTAATTCTCACTAGACTGAATAGCTTTTCAAGACGACCCTGTATACGTGATAGTATACAAATCCATTCAAAGGAGATGCGTAAAGATGGCTCAATGGCTTGATGGCTGTCTGCCGCGCAGCCATCCCGAAAAGCGTGCAGCGTTTACTTAGTATTAGGCATGCAGAGTATCAATCGAGGCTATGATACTGAAATTATATAAATAGACGAAGATAAACCATGCTGCATTGTGGTTATCATTTCTGCTTATTTTGCTCAGCGTAATGAATTTGGGTATTAGATGCAACATTTTCAGGGGCCATGTGGTTGAAGAAATTCGATACGAAGCACTTCTGATGTCTTGGGTACGGAGTCTGGACCGTCCAATTTCAGACTGAGAACATTGGCGCCAAGAACATCAATGCCCCTCGCCGCCGAGGAAGAACCTCAAAGCGAGAAATCTTTACGGTCAACGCGGCAGACCGTTGAGGTGGCGTATTCCAAGGTGGTGGACAGGACTAGTTATGGCAATGAGCATAGAGACTGTTTAAGCCTTTTATTATATTTCTGATTGATCGTCCAACATGTACCTACCTACTAGTTACTGCTGCTCTGGCGGATGGAATACCGGGGCTGTTTCAGACTGTTGGACAGGGATGAGCCTAAGCCTATTTTATCGATAGTTCCATTTTACGAGGACCGGCCATTGAACTGGGGTATTGATTAATGCGACTCGTTTTTTTATTGTGAGGAGGAATAACGAAAGCGGTAAAGGCATCGAGAAACAAGCAGTATATATGTTCTTTTTTCTTTCAATTTATCGGTTTATCAATGGAATAAACCGCTTATGACAAACTACAGTCACATTACCATGGGACCCATTTGTTGGCAACGCTGGCTTATCCTCACACCCTCCTCCGTCAAGCGCTATTTGATTGCCCGTGGTAGACGCGGTCTAGTGCCAGGAACAAGAGCCTTTTAAATCACGGGCCCACTACATCGTCCGACTCGTCCCGTTTTTTGCAGCGGCATCACACAAGGGCTGTTTCCAGTTCGCTAAACTACTCGGTCAATGCGACCCCGGATTTTTGTGTTCAATGCTCGCCGCATTGTCGCTGCCTCGTTGGAGGAGGCTTTCCTGTGTGACAATATTTCGTCGTGGAATTGTCCGGCGGCGGCTATCGAAGCTGCTGGTGTGCGACCTTGAAGGCTGCCAAGATACCTATGTAGGTTGGTAACGAACAAATACCGTGTCGGCCAGAGAAGTGAGGAACATGTCCGAGGTCACAGCACCAGACAAATAGGGATGCCGCTCCTTACTCCTAGGTTGGTGAGCAGTAATAATAGCGAATACTTTCAACAAGGTAAGCGTTTGTTGGAAGCGTCTAAGAATTCGTTCTAGTTGGCTTTTGTTTATCGAGGGCTATCAACAGTGCCAGCTGGTATGTATTTGGGGACGCGCCATACGAGTTTGATGAACCAAAAGGATTGTACCTAATACGGAGGGAGTAACTAGGTATTTACTGCCTGAAACGTCGTAGCCTGGACCTAAAATAGCCAAAAGAGCACGTTTTTTTGCAACGCTGCAATTAACAGGTACTGAATTAACGGACCAGTGGTTAATCTCCCAGGCACAACGCTTGCACGCACACACCCCCTTCGCACCCTTGCGTGGGCCGGCTAGAGTGCCCCTTTGACAGACTATCACTACCGCTGGTTGGTCGACAGGCTCTGTTGTGCAGTATGCTAACTAATAAAGTCATTCATGAGTCTCCGTAACGATGTTCGTACATACCCCTGTGCCTGGTCTGGCCACCATATTGAACCTTCCCTAGGTGACCCCCCGACCCCCCCCGACCCCCCAGCAACTGCTGGACCTCCTCCTTTTCCGTCTCCATTACTTCTGACGATTCCCTTCACCTTTCTGCACCTTCGTCGCGCCGTCAACTTCTTCCAACTGAGAGTTCTTGCTCTCTATCACACTCCTTTAACCCGGCTCGCTCGGTCCGCCTGCGCTCTTTCGTTCAATCCCTTCGCTTACGAACCCTATATTTACCCGATTATCGTCAAACTCCTTTTTAGGTGTGTAGGCCTCTGGCTGGTGTGCCATCATATGACCGGGTGGTGTTGAACGCAACGTCTCGAGTTCGCTGACTACTTGTCGCTTGCTGCCCCTATCACTCCGACACAGAAGTTATGCGACTATTCCATAGCGCCAATCCGCCGAGTCGGCCGCCAGACTTCTCACTACAGATACTGACGTTCTCCTTAGTAGGCATTCTTCCGTTATTATGAAGACTTTCGTCCAGCTGGCCCTCGTGGTCACCCTCGCCGCAACGGCCACTGCTTCGTCTCATCACCATGGCCATCGCCATTTGCACGCCAAGAAAGATGCCACCAAAGTCGACAAGCGTGAGCAGGCCGACGTTGTGGTCAAGGTCGTTGCGGGCCCTACCGAAACTGTCTACAAGCTCGGCGACAAGCTCGTCAACGCCGACGAGGCTAAGAAGGGCCTTGATAGCGGCGACTATGTCGTCGTAGGCGAGTCGACGCCGACCTACACGCCTCCTCCGGTTCCTTCCACCACCAAGGACGTTGGCGCGCAATTTATCGAATCCAAGTCGACCACTACCACCACCACCCCGCCTCCTCCGCCCCCGACCACCACGTCCACCCCGCCGCCTCCTCCTCCTAGCTCTACCGCTCAGGCTCCTATCGCCATCGCTGCCTCTAGCAGTGACAAAGATGACAGCAGCAGTTCCTCGGGCAGTGAGGATGTCGAGTTCCCCAGTGGCAAAGTCAAGTGTAGTGAGTTTCCCTCCAAGTACGGTGCTGTCGCCGTTCCCTGGATGGGACTTGGTGGCTGGGTAGGTGCCCAGAAGGTCTCCGACTACCCCAACGCTCTGAGCTTCGACAACATCGTCGAGGCCATTGCTGGTCAAGGCTGCACCCCGGGTGACATGTGCTCGTACGCGTGCAAGCCTGGTTACCAGAAGAGTCAGTGGCCCGCCTCCCAGGGTGCTACAGGGCAGTCCGTTGGCGGCGTCTACTGCAACTCAAACGGTTACCTGGAGCTTACTCGCCCCAGCGTCAAGCAACTTTGCACTGCCGGCGAGGGCGGCGTATTCATCAAGAACGATCTCGACGATGTTGTTGCCACCTGCCGCACGAACTACCCCGGCAACGAGAATATGAACATCCCCACTGTTGCTGAAGCTGGCCAGACTGTTCCTCTCACCAACCCCAGCCAGTCTGGATACTACCAGTGGAAGAACATGAAAACTTCGGCCCAGTACTATATCAACCCCAAGGGCGTTGCTGCCAAGGATGGCTGTATCTGGAAGAGCCCTACCTCTCCCGATGACCGTGGCAACTGGGCTGCCGCCATTGCTGGTGTCGGTATGGCTGACGACGGTATCACCTATATTTCTCTCTTCCTGAACAAGCCCACCTCCTCGGCTAAGCCTGATTTTAACATGGAGATCATTGGCGGCAACAGCAAATGCGGTTACCATAATGGCCAGTGGATTGGCGGCACCGACGGTTGTACCGTAAGTATTTTTCCATTGTTGCCACTTGGTTTCTCATTCTGATCGCGAATCACAGACCGGTCTGGCTAAGGGCCAGACTGCCACCATCCGCTACTACTAGGCGCTGCCGTCTAGCCCTGCAACACCATAATCGCTATTTCTCCTTGGATCTTCATGTCAATATTCTTTTCGGTTGTAGCACCACTAGAGGGCTGAATCATACTCGAGGGACGAAGCCTGTCTATGACTTTGGATGCAATTGTGTTTGGACTACCTTGTGTTTGATGCTCACGGGCTCGTTGCCATAAATGATGTAGGATTGGGGGACACAACGGTGCCATTTTTGGATATACTGCGCTGTGATCATTGGCTATACTCTATTTAATCACGGGCGGCGTTGTTGAATGGCTCTTACTTTCTGACCCGTTTTTCCACATTCTGATTCCTTGAGCATCTCTGCTGTTCATGCCGTGTGAACTGCGCAAGACTCCTGTGGGTTGGTTTAGGTCTGGAGGTACGATGGTTTTTTTCTGCTTGCTACCTAGTTATTCTTGCAATGGATTTCATCTTAGTAATTACCATGCTCTGTGTCACTGACCGTTTAGTCATCATCGGCCTTCTGCCCTCTCGACCATGGTACGTTGGTCGCTCTGTTGTAGTTACTTTGTGGTCTATCATTGGCGAAGTCATTGAATTAATTGGTAACTAACCAGACGCTACAATTTAACAGGGAGCGCGGCTTCGTTCTATAAAAAACGTTCAAATCCAGACTTATTCGATCCCCTCGAACTAAACATTTACGCTTCAACGCTGTGTTTTCCAGTCTTACTCACTTTTGGTACAGTGCTTCTAGAACTCCATTGGTACGGCTGTGCCCGCCTCTCTAGCTCGCCGCAGTTCGTTGCTCCTCTCTTCATTCACCTCTTTGAGACGCTGCTCCACGTCCTCACGGATGCCGCCTAGATCGGGGGGGATGGCTTGCATCTGCACGCTTGGTGCGGCCTGGACGAAACGCAGCTGCTCGGTAACGTGCTGGAGGATGTCCTGCAAGCGCTTCTGCGAGTTACGATTGACACGAGGCTCGCCGAGGATCTGCTCTAGCGTTGGGAAAAGTGTATCCTGGCGGAATTGTTCGCGCCAGGGCACGTGTTGCGGCAGCGTTGAGTTGATCTTGTCGTCGCAGCCTATGGCAATCGATGTCTCGTAGGCCCATGCGCGGGCGACGTTACGCGGCGTGTAGCCGCCACCCCCAAACAGGATGAGGGGCAGGTTGTACTTTTTGCAAAACTCGACGCAGGCACCGTGGCCCTGAACCTGCAGGTTGAAGCGGCCGAGGCGGTCGCCGGCCAGTGAGTCGGCCCCGCATTGCAGGGCAATGGCGCCAGGACGGAACTTTTCGACGATGCGGCCAATGATCGAGTTGAATAGCCACTCGTACTGCTCGTCGGTGATGCCGTCGTTGAGGGGTACGTTGACGGCGTGGTGCGCGCCGGGATTATGCTCGCTCTTAGGTCCATTATCGTCGAGCGCGCCTGTGCCAGGGAAGAAGTTGTTGGGGTCGTACTTGTGGAAGGAGACAGTCATGACGCGGTCAGTCGAGAAGAACGCCTCCTCGACACCGTCACCGTGGTGGACGTCAATGTCAATGTAGAGGACGCGCGGGTAGTAGCGTAGGAGCTGGAGGATGGCGATAACAATGTCGTTGATGTAGCAGAAGCCCGAGGCCTCGGCCTTTTTCGCGTGGTGCAGGCCGCCGCCCCAGGCAATGGCAATGTCAGACTGCTTAGAGCAGAGCTTGCGCGCGCCGTCGAGCGCGCCGCCCGCCGACATGGAGCAGTAATCGTAGAGACCATCAAAGAGCGGGCAGTCGGAGCCGCCGAGGTTGAATTTGAGATCTGGGTTTTGGTTCTCGAGATCGCGCGGGACTGGCTCTGGGAGGACCGTGCCGAGGAAATCCAGGTAGTCGGTCGAGTGGAACGTGGCCAGCTCCTCGTACGTGGCGGCGCGCGAGACGTAGTTGTCCATGGCGAATGACATGCCGTACGAGTAAATGAGGGACTTGGAGAGGGTGAGGCGCCAGGGCTTCATTGGGTGTGTCATGCCAAAGTGATGCTTCTCCATGTCGGGATTGCAGTGAAAGGAGACGTTGTAGCCCTTTGGTCGCGTGATGCCAGATTCTTCCGCCATACGCTTGCATTTGTTGTAGAACTTTGCGTTGTCCATATCACTAGCCAGGCCGAGCGGCGATTCATACTCTTGGACAATGTCATGGTCGACATCTTGCTTGTGGGGGAGGTAGTTGGGCTTCGGGACGCGAAACTTGTATGCATCCATGGCTGCAGGCCTGATGGCAACGTTCCAGAACCACCAAATGAGGGGCCACTGGTTACACGTTATGACTGCGCTCCTGTAGATGTAAGTTCAGTCAAGTGCCGTCGTTGCGGCCGCCTGTTCGGCTGTTGAGGTCTTGGTCTCGGTCAGAGGTTTGACCTGCAGCCAGGGTGAAAGAAGACGAGACAAGGCGCGGATGGACGCAGCTTTTTGAGAGTATACGGGGCTGATAATAAATCAAGGTCATTATTGGGCTCGCAGTCGTTCGTAATAGTGCGGTCGCGAATAGCAATGAAGTTGCTTGCATCAGTTAAGGTTATGACGAACGAAGAAGCGGCGGTGGGTTCTTATTGGGGACAGCCTAGGCCTAATTTGAATAGGTACCTATACTAAGGTAGGCACTGTGCCTACCTACCTACCTAGGTAGAGGTACCTAACGTACCTTATTTTTCCGCGGCTCCGACCTCCCGCATTTCCCTATCCCCCATCCCATCTCCATCCAGAGAGCCCTGCGAACTGCAGACTGATGCAGTCACTCTTCATCGCATCCAACAAAAAGACGACGCTGGCCCCGAGTTCATCCTTCATTTTTGAATCACAAGCAAGAGATAGTCTGTCTGAGGTAAGTCGCTCCCTTTTCTCACAATGATCCGCTCCTGCACGCGCCTGCTTTCCTTGTCCTTGTGCCGCCGGCCACCTTTGGCAGTGCACTTGCGTTGCTCGTGACAACCGCTCCAGTTCGCTCGCCACTTACGCTGAGTCGCACATTTTGGCCAATTGTCACGCCTGACATTGCACATGTATGGCTTCTAATACTGGCCCAAAAGCCCTTCATCTATTATTTACGCATTACCCCTCCATGCCAATCTCAGTCAGTGGATTCCGCTCGCTAGCCATAATTTAGCTGCAGAGTGGCTCCATGTCATCCTCATCCCAGCCCACCTGTCGTCAATCTGCTTTTCCTTGGCCTACCTATTTCTTCTTCTGCCTTTTGACCCCCATCTTTGTCCTTGCTCATTCATATATACCCTGGCCTGCGAAATTGTCATTTTTGAGCCTTGCGGTCCTGCGCCCTCGTGCTGGTTTAGCACAGGCGTTGCGTTGTGTCGCTTGCCTTGTCTTTACCTAGCCTTCTCGTCCCTAGATTATTAATGATGCCTAGAGACGACCTCTCCATCGACTTCGTCAAGAGGATGCCTCAAGTCGAGCCCCTCGATCCGAGTTTAATACTCGATGATTGGATCAACCGCGTTCAAAATCTCCCCGAGGAGATTCGGTTTATGCAAGACGAAATTGCCGATAAAGACCGACAGTACAGCGAATGCGTCCGCATGATCGAAGACCGCGATGCCAAGATTCAAAAATGGATCAAAACCAATGGCAGCCATGAACCGAACCCTCGAGAGGATTTGTTGCGCTCCCAAATCCGCGAACATTATGCCAAAGCCGATCGTCTTGCTCAGGAGAAAATTGATATGGCACGCAAGCTGCAAGCCACCATGGACAAGCATCTGCGCAGTCTTGATATACAAATAAAACTGTTATACGACCGAGCTGAGCCAGGTTTTACCGATCCCGATGAGGTCCCATCTCTGCTGCGTCCCAGTGCAGCCAACATTGCCGCTCCTTCAATCCGCACAAGCAACCCTTCCAGCATGACCGCTGGTCCGGCTCTTGCTCCCGTCAATACTGGCTCTAATCCTGCATTGGCTCGACTACCCACGCATCCACACATTCGTCAAGCCCAGGCACCGCAACAGCAGCAGCAAACAAATCAGCCGCATGCTGCTTCTGCACCAGCAACTCCTGCTGCGAGCATGATTATGAACAGGCATAGAGAGGGCTCTGCGGGACCAGCCACGAAGCGCGGGCCCAGGGCAGCTCCAGGAACAGGCACCGCTCCCGCCACCTCGAGTGGGCTTGCGCGGCATTCATCTCTGGGCCCAGGAACGCCGAAAAATGGCACTGCGACTGGGCCTAATGGGGCTGTCAGAGCTGGTAGTGCCGGCCCAAGGGCCACGACAACAAAGTTAGGCAACGGTCCAGGTAGTCGACGAGGCACACCTACCGCGCCCAGTCGCAAGAAGCCTCCACATAAATCCAAGCTATCCCGGGTGAAGAAGCCGTCGGCTAGGAATTCACCGGCTTCGACGGCAGATAGTGACCTGTCGGAGGCTGAGAGTGGTAGTGGTGATGACGCTGCTCGCCGCTCTGGTTCGGCGGCCGATAGCAAGGACGCCGACGGCGATACAGCCGTCGGCGACGCAGACGAGGATGACGAGGAGGAAGAGGAGGAAGGGGGTGATGACAAGAAGTACTGTTTATGCCACAATGTCAGCTATGGTGACATGGTCGCATGTGACAATGACAACTGCCCTTATGAGTGGTTTCATTGGTCCTGTGTTGGACTCAAAAGCGAGCCCAACGGTACTTGGTATTGTCCCGTGTGCTCAGAGAAGCTGCAGAAAAAATCCAAATGATAGGTAGGTTTTGAGTATGATAGAATGTAAGATTGGCGGGTCGGCGTATATTTTTTTGGATGTATAGAAGGAAAGGTATTTGGGTCAGCTATGCAGCGTTGTTACTTTTACCACAATACTCTTTATCAGCTTATGGCTTAGCTGATCTATCGTTCAATCGTGTCAACCCTCCATTGTGATAGCAGTATAACCCATCTACCGGTTTTATTCACTGTATTGGCATGCATGCTATATTATCATAATATGCATTTGACCACGCCACGTCGCACACCATCTGCCTCTTCACGTATAGCTGTGACATTGCCTCCACGGCCACGCGCCTGGTCAACAAAGTCGTCTAATGAGCCCCCAACACCAAAGTACAGTTTCTTGGCCGCCACCAAAGCTACTGCCGGCGAAGTGCTCTGTTTTGCTCCTTCTCGCTGAAGTATCGAAAATGTGGCTTCTGTGAATGCCTGGAGTGCAAACGGTGAGTAAATAGTCTCTGCTCCGAGTAGCAGCGTGACGGTGGCAGCGCTGGAGTCTGTCGCGTCATCGGGGATGCCACTATATACAAGCTCAATGAACTCGGGAGACCAGGCACCAGATAGGAAGGTGAGGGAAATGCGCTTGGCGATGAGATAGGACTGGAACGCCGCAACGACCTCAGGGAGCAACTCAAGCTCGCCTTCGAGGGAGAAGGCATTGCACAGCGCGGGAGTCTGCTCGCGGGTGTGAAGAGCCCATGCAAGAATGAAATTGGGCAGTGTGACGAGCTGCAGGACGGTAGGATTGTAGTCTGCCACAATAAAGGATGTTGGTTGGCGCGTTATCACAGTGGTCGATGTGATGGCTTCTATTGTCCATTGCAGGAGAGCGACGGAGGGCAAGGCGGTTCCGCAACCAAGCTGGATACAAGTTAGATTGCGCTCGTCGTAATTTATCGAAGGGAGAACAATATATCAGGTGAAAACAGACGAGCTTCGGATTATACGGCGTACCTCTATTATTCTCATGGGCAACTGCTCAGCAGCAGAGACTTTACCCTGCGCAGCCAGCACCTTGACCAAGTCTACACTGCTTTCCCAGCTCTTGAAACCGCCCTCATACACGCCCGTTTTGACATCATGGGTGCCTAGGCCGGAACCATCTGCACCGACGCTGTGCTCTGCGTTTTCTTCCTCTTCTGCCATGAGTTGCACGCGCACGTCCCAGAGCTCGCGGCGGGGCAGCTGCATGACACTGCCGTCGTCGAGGGTCACACTCAGCAAGCTGTACGCAATTTTCGAGGGCATCGCGGCGAGCATCTGGACTAAATCATGGCGCGTGGCAGGCAGCTGAGCCTTGCCAGCGATGGGGAATGCGCTGGTTTGCGTAGGTGTGAGTGTGCGAGCGACAGGGAGCTGTTGAGTCTCAACATCATGGGAGGTATCTATGTCGTCTCCGGCAAAGCTAAATGAGAAAGTCATGGCGCTGTTTTAGCAGAGGCAATGATTAACTCTTCACTGTAAATCTATCTACATGAAAAGACATGAAAAAAATACTGCGACTGTGAGTTCTGATTATGGTGTGGGGCTGAAAATTCGGGCTGGAGCTGTCAAACTGTCACCACCGCGATCTCGCGCACAAACACACTATAAACACTCCCTTATATCTTTACTTCTAAAAATCCTAAAAGTATATAATAATGAATTTAGATTGTTAAAGCTAAAGTTATTCTTTCTTATATAATAATCATCACTTTATTAGGTACCTGGTACAGTGGTGTATCACACACCAGCAGAAGCGGGATCCACACCTGAATTTGACCTTAAGTACGTTGCTTAGGGTACTGTTCAACACCTTGGTACCATGCGTTACCAATGGCTATTAGGAAGGCTTCGCTTGATGCCTTCTCCCATCCCGACCATCACTTCCAGCACGGCTTCAACGGCATCTCATTAATACTGAGCAATCGAGGCCGGTGCTTTTATAACTACTATTTGAAACCTCTCAAGTCGTAAAGAACCATTCTTGCGTTATCGCGTCTTGTCCTGTTCAATTGCCTCCTTTTATCACATGCTCGTCAAAAACATCGAATGCGATTGTCACAATGCGTTCGTCATTAGCTAAGCTCGCCAAAGCCGCGTCCACGCAAAAAGGGTTTCGCCCTGAACCTATGGCCTTGCTACCGCCAATTCCACTCTACCGACGTTTGCTGCGTGCGCACCGCAAGTTTCTCCCGGCTGAGATGCGCGTTCTAGGCGACGAGTACATCAAAGCTGAGTTTCGGGCGCACCGCAAAGTCGACAATCCAGCGCATCTAGTAAGCCAACACGGCCATATCTTCAAGGAATATTGTTTGCTGACCAGCATTTTAAAGATTGGGTTCCTGACGGAGTGGCAAATGTATGCGCAAAAGATTGAGGGGGATGCTTGGATTGGTGATAAGATTGACGAGGGCAAGCTTGCAAAATTAAGCGATGAGCAAGTGTATCAGCTTTACGACCTGATGCAGTCGATAGAGAAGCATCGCAAGGGAGGGTAGCTGTATGGAACAGACAATTCGATTAGACTACAATTTTTGGTGTTGGTTACTGAACTAGACTATGTACCTCCTTCTCCGTTGTTACGTTCTATTACTTGTATTTGCGCTCAAGCGCCTCGACAACCCATGCTGCTTGAATAACGCTGACCTTCTTCGCGTAGTTCTTGTTGGTATACACCTGTTCAAGGAACATGATAGCCTCTACCTTTCGACCGTGAAGTACACTTGCGGGGTGGATTGCCACAACATGCTTACCATGGCAAGTCACGTAGCTGGCATCTGGCGCTAGCATAGCCGTCTTCATTGCAAAACCGCGGAGAAAGCACTTGAGCAACGATTCCGCACGCTCGGGGGATATTGGGATGAATGGTTGCGGGTCGGCAGGAGGCGCCTCGCTGAGCAGTTTCTCCTTGACGCACATGCCACGAAGCTGTCTTCGAATATTCAGTGCTTGCTTTATAGTTCGTACATTGAGCTTGCGCTTTTGACACCACTCGTTTCGGTTGGAATTTTCAGCTGTATACTGCTGCATGGTGGTGAGGTATGTGATGAGGTCTCCTTCGCGACGTTGAAGTTCCTTTCGAAATTCCTCGACCTCTTCCTGACCTTCTTCCGAATGCACAGCCAGGAAGATATCCTCACCTGCGGTGATACAGGATATAATGTCAACTGCCTCCATTAAGCAGTCGTATTCTGGGTTAGCAGCAGTAATAAGAACAGCGCTCAGAGGAGCCGACAGGGGAAACTTTGCCATGGTCTCTCCAACATCAGTAATGCTCCCATCGTCGTTTAACGCTCCAAGAAAGTGCAGATGTATTAGAGCACGCTCTATAGCTTCAGTTTTCGGAGGGTCCATCAAAGGAAATGATAGGACATCCTGGATTCCGCGAGCCTTCATCGTGAGAATTGCGCCGAGAACATCATTGCGGAGGATCTCTGGGAGATCAGCCGACAACAGTGAGTTAAAGCTCGTCTCGGTGTATAGGCGGTAGCACTTGCCCGGCCCCTCACGACCTGCACGGCCTGTTCTTTGTATTGCCGATGACTTGGAAATGGGCTTCGCGAGCAGCGATTCCAGGCCCAGTCGCGTGCGAAATTGCTTGATCTTGGCTTTGCCACCATCAACCACATACCGAACGCCCGATACTGTAACTGATGTTTCCGCAATATTTGTCGCGAGCACGACTTTGCGCGTGAATTTGGGTTTTACAGGAAGAAAAGCCTCTTGCTGCGCTTCAATCGACATCTGCCCATAGAGCGGTACAGCTTTAATCTTCGGCACGTTGGATGCAAGGCTAGCGGAGTATTCCTGTATCAGCTTCTGCGCCACGTTGATTTCCTCTTGACCCGTCAGAAATGCCAGGATATCGCCAGGGAGTGGTTCTTCTGTGTGTATTTTGAAAATCCGTTTCAACAGCGCGTCCTGTAGATCGGCAACAGGTCGAGGTTCATGCTGAACCTCTACAGGATACTGTCGGCCCTCGATACGCAACACATTCACACCTCCGCGATTGTGCTGCATCATCTCGTCGTCATTGAAGAACCCCTTAATGACTTCGACACTGGCAGTAGCACTCATGATGACTACTTTGAGGGGGGCACCACCGCGATGCTTCGGCCCTGCGATCAGAATTTGCTTCAGGAAGCCGACCAAGAGGTCCGCATCTAAGCTGCGTTCGTGGATTTCGTCAACAATAACAGCGCTGTATTGTCTCAAATATGGATCACGCAGGAGTTCCTGGAGCAATGTCCCCTCGGTGAGAAATTTGATTTTGGCGCCCTTGGGTAGTTGGTGGTCGAACCGAACAGAATATCCGACTTTGCCATCTTTTCTGCCCTTCCCCAATGGTGTGCCTGCTTCTTGGGCTACACGGTGCGCCAGAGTTGTGGCGGCGACTCGTCTTGGCTGTGTAATGGCGACTGTGCCTCCCACAGCAACTTCATCCGAGTAGCCTGCAAGTTTGAACTTTTGACGCTTGCACCAAGACTCTTCCGCTAGAAATTGGGGTACTTGAGTACTTTTACCAGAGCCAGTCTCGCCGACCAAAATGAGGACATTGTTTCCCGATCCACGCAGGGTCTCCCGAATGTCATCTCTATGCTGCCATATGGGGAGTGCTTTTCTGGCTTGTAGCAAGCCTCCATTCGTTTCACTGCTTGATTTGGGGGCTTGGCTCCCTTTTCCCGGTTGTCTCGAGCTTTCCGTAGCATGTGTCGTGTCTGTCGGTGTTCCTTCATACTTCGTAACGGAGTTGAGGGGCTGAGGCTGCTTCGATTTTGATGGCCCTAGATAGCCGTCTAGGGAAATCCTCTTACCGCCGCCAATATTTATTGTGTTGGAGTCGGTCTTCCGCTTTTTGATCGGTCGGCTGCCGTCTTTCTCGGACGCCATGTTGACCATTGATGAATAGAGTGAGGCAAGTTCACTTTATGTGAAGGCCAGGCAGGGCACTGTGTGAAGTGATATTTTTTTATGGGGGATTTGCGCAGTGGATACTCCTCGAATAAGTGAAAAACATACAGTATGTAATAATCAGGCATCGCTGGATGAAGTTTATTTTTAAATTGTTATTTTCATCTAACTGATTACAGATTTATATATTCTAGCTGCCGTCTTGATATTTTTTGCTTCCCTCACATTGATGTCCCACTGTCAGCCTGGGCCGCATTTGGCATTACTGCAAATATCTCGGGGCAAAATAGAAGCACCAGTTTAGTTAAACCGCTTCTTTTCATATGTGCGCTGTTGGCTTGATGGTGTTAGCGTAACAATAAGCGAGCCATAGGGCATTCATTGTGAATACTTCTATTTTATGTGCGTTTCAAGACGTTATTATTTCTAGACCAAGAGCTACACGCCGGCAGTGAATTGGGAGAAAACGGTATTTATTAGCCGAAGTTTTGCTTATCCAGATCTGCGCCAAAGCAGCCCCCTCTCATCAGCTGTACAAGGCTGACTTTGGAATCCAATGCCTCGCTCGCATACACTCCGAGATAAATGCACTGCGTGATTTACTTGAGAGCGCAAACAGCTGCTAGCACCCTAGTGCAATGCGCAAGTGTTCAAGCAATTACCAGCGAAAGCCTAGCTCGGAAGTGTGTGAATCCGTACACACGTATGACCCAATTATTTGATGCGAGCCAGTCTCTCACGGTTCATGCGAGTAGCATCATCAACAGCATCGCTCTGAGATAGAGAATTAGTAAAGTCGCCAAGAATACACCACGGGACGCTGCAGACCTTTGTCATGATCCTGTCGATCTGTTTGTTCTGCGAATCGACCTCCTTTCCAATGGCACGCCCAACCATATTCATCATAGAAACCTGGCCTTCGAGCTCATTGATACCATCGTCGATCTGATCCTCGAGCTCATCGGCCCCCTCTTCATCTTCCAGGTTGAATTTGCCATAGTCTTTTTTGGCACGCTGCTGAGGTCTGGCGACACTGGATGTGCTCATGTCACGGAAATTGGACTCCATGCGTTGGTTAGCAGAGAAGCCTTCGCGGCGAGTTGTTTCTCTTTGATCACGTTCGGCTCGGTGACGGTTCATGACGTCGTCATCCGCTTTTTGCTGGCGCTGCTTCGATGTGAACGGGTTAGAGACGTGGACAGCAAACATGCTTCTGTTGAGCGTTTTCAATTCCGCGGCTCTATCTTGCGCAATCTTGTTCTGATTGGCAGCAAGATCTAGGTTCTTCTCGGTGTTGTGCAGTCGTTCACCCTGAGCTCCGAGGCGCGCGAGCGTAGCGCGGCCAACCTCGTTCGCTTGTCTAGCCATCTGAACTGAGCGCGAGACTGATGCAGAACTTTCTTGCTGCACTTGGCGCTTCTCGGCAAGAATCCCTTGCGTTTCAGCTTCGTCTTGTTCTTCTGCTGTCAATTCTCGCTGGTCGCCGTACCCGCCGTAGCTATCCTGCGAAGCAGTAGATGGGCCACTTTGGCCATAGCCACTGCTGGTCGCAGTTGTCGCTGTTGTTTGCTGTCTCTGGGCAAATCTTTCCTGCGCGCCGCCTAGAAGGGCCTCCCTGTTGCTGTCTTGCTCGTCCTTTTCGTTCCGCCCGAAGCCACCATAGCCACCAGGGCCTCTAGCACCGGCAGTAGAGGCGGCATTTCGATCCGCTCCAACGTTGCTCTCGTATCTATTTGAGCCATAGCCGCCTCCAGATCCGTATTTGTCGGAGCTGTACCCGGCATAGCCGGGAGCACGACCTGGGGGATCCTGCTGTCCAGCGCCTGGCGCAGCGCCGCCGCCAAGCTGGGAGCGGGCTTGCTGGTAGGGAGTAACGTTGGCATACTTTGCGGAATCAGCGTAAGGGTCGGCCGCGCCTTGAGCTCCTTGTTGTGCGTACGGGTTGTCGGTTTGAGCGGCCGGGGTCGAACTCTTTTTGCGGCTGCCAAAGAGAGCATTGCGACTAGCGTCGTCGCCGTCGTCGCCGCCCTTCTTGCCAAAACCAAACTTCTTCATGTTGTTTATTCGTCGGCTATGTTGGTCGATCGATCTCGTGGGCGTGCAGTACGATCTAGACAGGCAGACTCGAAAGGGCCAGAAAGAATATTACATGAGTTAGTGGAAGAGTTGTAACATAGGTGGCAAGGAGGCTTGGGTTACGAAGTAGTTACGGCAGTGAACGCCCAGCGTATCAGGCCTACCAATATTAGGCGCAGCGGGGCAACAATGCTATAATTAAACAGTTTTGGGTAGTAGGTACCTAGTTACCGCCTCCTGTGTACATAGGTACCTAAGTAGGAGATTGCCGCCAGGCAGCAATCTCAAACAGGGTTCTTCCTTATTAAGGAGTATAACAAGTGCTACTCCGTAGTGACATCAGTATCAGATGTGCACAGTGCTTTGCAACATGACGCAGTGATGCATTAGGAGTTGCTTCGCGGGGCCGCTATGTTACCTCTACTAAACCTACCAACCTAGGTACCTAGGCATGAAGGTAGCAAGGTAGGTAGTTAGTTGTACTGGCTTCATCCCCGTTGGCACCAGCTCCCTAGAAATCCTACTCATCTTCATGTCTTTTCTTCTTATACCAAGAGTCAAATCAAACGCTCGTGTCACGGCAGTGCAGGCGCCTGAAGCATATTGTTCTAAGTAGTTACCTAGTTGAAGTTGTGAATGCAGCTGTGTCCCCTGGTACAAGGCCAGAGAGGGGCAGCAGCCAGACTCCACCAGACCTTGGGCAAATGCTCATCGAGCTGAGCCTCATTATTCCTCACACCTTCGACACCTTCGCTCGATGTGTCACAGCTTTTGTGGTATACTAGCACCGCGAACTGCACATTAATCTGTGATATCTACCACATTGGCAATTTGTTATTCGCGCTCCATCCGGGATACATTGCAAGGCCATACTATATCCCGCCTCATCGCCAACCAAGTAGCCGTATCTCCTTCGAGTCTGGCGCAAAATGAGTACACAGCATCACCGGCTACATACCCAACACACAACGCGGGCAACGCGCTAGAAGCCTCAAGCTCGCGGCTTCATCTCCGAAAATTTCTCAGATTGCGATCTGAAAATTGGGCCAGCGAGTGAGCATCATGGCGTCCATATTTACCTACGACCCGGATCCGCCTAGAGTGTCATCGCCCTGGATCTCTCCTGCTGACCCTGCGAAGCCGGCAGTGTCAGGCTCTCTCACAAAAGAAGAAGCAAAAGGCAAGCATAAGTTGCTCTCAGACTACGGTGTCACTAAGCTCGAGGCCGAGCCCCAAGAAGGCCCTACCGAATATAAATTGCATTTGCTCTTACGTCCAAGAAGAGCCTTTACATATATGTCAACACATATCACAGGCAGAAAATCCAACACCGGTACGCCATCAATTGATGCTTATGGGAAAGCTAATCCCGCAACGCTGGCGATTGCTCCCCAGTCTCGGCAACAACGCCTACAACATCTCACGACACAACTTCTCTGGAGAATGCAGCAATCCTCCCCGTATCACGCGGCGAGATCTAAGGATCTGGTTGTTCCACATCTTCCCGATGATAACACCGACCTCGGTGCTACAATTCAACTCACCCCTTTAATTGCTGGCCTGGAAGAGTCAGGGGGTGCTTTGTATGAGATCGGCGTATCGGACGACGGCACACTAGTGGGACTCACAAAGGATGAGATGGACGAGAGCTTAACAACATTGAGAATCATGGCTGCGAGTCTAGGCTGCATAGTCGAGGTCATGCGGATGGTTATCGTCGGAGAATGTGAATGGGTCGAGTCCGTCGACCTTATCGACGATGGAGACGCCGCCGTTCGCCAAGTTTCTAAGGAAGATAAGCTTTGGGTCGCTGAAGCCATGGTAAACCCATGTTTCAAGCAGAATCACGCTGCAAAACTGTCGGATGAGCCACAAAGCTCAGTCTGTGAAACACGACAGCGACAAGAACCCATCGCGATTGCCAGCCGTGGCAGTTCTACAACGTCGCAGTTGAGGGTAACTCTCACTGGACCCACTACATCTGGAAAATCTAGCCTGCTCGGTACTCTCTCTACGGGGACTTTGGATAATGGTAGGGGTAAGAGTAGACTGAGCCTCCTGAAGCACCGTCACGAACTGGCCTCCGGCGTAACCAGTTCAGTTGCACAAGAACTTGTTGGGTACAAAGAACGTACCATTCTGAACTTCTCACAACCAAATATCGAATCGTGGATAGATATTCATGACCAAGCCCAAGAGGGCAGGCTCTTGTTTGTGTCAGACTCCGGTGGACATCCTCGCTACCGTCGAACTGTCCTTCGAGGCCTAATGAACTGGGCACCGCATTGGAGCATTCTCTGTATCGCGGCGGATGATTCTGAACAGAGCTTCAGCGCGTATGGTCCCGCCAGCCAGGAAGATAACCGTGTGGAAGGACCATGTCTTGACCTCGTCAAAGCACACCTGACGCTGTCTCTCAAGTTAGATGTTCCAATGGTCATTGTCGTCACGAAGATGGACTTGGCGTCCAAGACCGGACTCCAAAAGACACTCGTCAAAGTTCTAAGCGCAATCAAAGACGCGGGAAGAACGCCAAAGATATTGAAACCTGATCACAAGGAGCAAGTGGAACTGACGAATATCCCCTCAAATGAAAAATTGAAGGTCAACCCTATCATCGAAGAAATGGAAAGCGTCAACAGCTTGACCAAGATAGTGCCGATTGTTCTCACGAGCGCAATGACTGGCTCTGGCATAGGCTTGCTTCATGCTCTGTTGGAAAGCCTGCCAATGCCACATCTTCCCACATCGCACGACTTTGTAGGCGCCGTGCTGAACCCGGAGCAACCAAAGTCACTTTTTCACATTGACGACACGTATAACTTGCCGATTCCCCAGATAGGTTTGGTCGCAGATACCGGAACTGCGCAAACTGGTGTGATTGTTTCGGGTCATCTGAGGTTCGGTAGCTTGACGGTCGGAGAGAGTATTGTGGTCGGTCCATTCCAATCTGAAGACGAAGATGGGAAAGTTTCGGGCCCGGCGGATCGTCCATCGCCAAGCAGCTTTGGCTTGTCTATATCCCATCCTGCGTCGGCAGAACTGGCAAAAATTGCCATGATAAATGCCGTCTCTGCTTCGGAAATTGCTGGCGAATGGCTTAAAGCTGAGGTCGTGAGTATCCGAAATCTGCGACTTCCAGTAAGGACTCTAGAGGCGGGTCAGGCGGGCTCCATTGGGTTAATACTAGATAAAAATAAACAGGGCTCGCTCAGAGACTTGCCGCGCATTCGCAGGGGCATGGTACTGGCCGTACCGTCCAAGCACATGTTGGATACTGGACTATCTCTGCAGGCTGCAAGCGGTTTCACTGCTGCTTTCAACGAAGTCGAGTCGAGCACACTTGCAGTCGGTGCCCTGGTCAACGTTTATGTTGCCAGTATCCGCGCCGCCGCTCGCATTTTGAAGGTTCATTATACCGCACTTGGTCATGCTGGCCCAGAGTCCGGAAATACTACGACGGATGAACTCGGGTTGTTCAATTTGAATGACGAGATGGAAGTACGAGGCCCGGACAACAGCAGCGCTGCTGAAGTGACATTGGAATTACTTCATACCCGAGAGTGGATTGAGATGGGATCGTGCGTTATTCTACTAGAAGGCGGCACACGAGATGGATCTGGTCTAGAGGGGCATGTTGGGAAGGTGATTGAAATCGTCGATTAACATTGCGCCCTTCCATCGTCAAATCCGCCTGAGTAGAACGCGATACAAGTCAGCGCAGGAAGGTCAGCGCGCGCTCTTTCTGTCATGTAACGATATATCAGGTGTCTAAAGGATATGATGATACCGATCCTATTTGATATCCATTTTAGGCTTGTACCAAGCCATAAAAAAGAGTCCATGTCAATATGAAGCCTGACAAGCCATTGAAGATGCCGCCAGTCCAGAAGCTCACGGAGCCGTAATAATATCGGCTAGTATCAAAAGCGGCCTTTCCAGCGGCAAGTGAGGAAGGCGCTATTTGGATCGTGTAGAACATAACGGTCGCAATGATGGATAGCACAAAGTAGAGAAGAAATCCGGTGTACGATTCGAGGCCGAGGACGCCGGCGGTTACGCCGAACAGAGGTGCTGTTATGCTTTGGAAATTCGACAGAATCTGCGAATAGAAGCGTATTAGCATATTATGATATGGGGGGCAAGACGAAGGTTGGGTTGCCTACCCTGCCATTGTGAATCATCGACTCTTGGACCAGCGGGTTGATTTGGTATTGTCGCTCGGACATCTTCACGCGTTGCTGGCTTCTTGCTCCTATCCAGTGTAGAGTAGGGTTTATTTTGCGGTCGATGAGCAGGTGGGATTGCGCTGCCAGGCCATGCCAAGTATTGTTCGTGGTCCAGTTGAAGGTGTCCTTACTAGGTAGGTAGGAGGTAGGTAGTGTACGTAACTAGTTAGCAACATTAGAAGTCTCCTGGCGGCGCTACGCACGGGCCGAATGTGATCCGGCGCAAGAGGTACGTACCGCGCGGCGCTTTATGCCCCTCCCTTATTATCGCGGGGTTTGGATTTTTGAGACATCCGTCGCAGACACATTCATTGGATTGCGAAGATGAACCCCAAGTTCGAGCCATTGCAAAACGATTTGCTGCTCCGTGCAGCTCGCGGTATGATTCGATCATATATGGGGCAATTCCAGTCTTGAACTCGGGTCTATTCTCAAGCTAACGAGGGCTTCTCTTGTAGGCGAGGTCGTTGAGCGTCCACCTATGTGGGTTATGCGACAAGGTAAGAGAAAATATCACAGACAGCTTTGATAACTAAGGGTGGATCTAACATTAACTCCGAAGCTGGTCGCTACCTACCCGAATATCATAAAGAAAAAGCTGGTCGTGATTTCTTCGAATGCTGCCGTGACCCCGAAATAGCCTCGAACCTGACTCTCCAGCCAATTGACCGCTACGCCGGCCTCATCGACGCCGCTATTATCTTCTCGGATATTTTGGTCATCCCTCAGGCCATGGGAATGCTCGTAGAGATGGTTGACAAGAAGGGTCCGCATTTTCCGGAGCCTCTTAAGACTCCGGAGGATGAGCAGTACGACATGGTTATGGAGCGCAACGTCGACGTCGCCGGGGAGCTTGGCTACGTCTACAAAGCCATCACGCTCACACGCCAAAAGCTCCAGGGTCGTGTACCCTTGATCGGCTTCTGCGGCGCACCATGGACGCTGTTCTGTTACATGGTCGAGGGTGGCGGTACCAAGCTCTTTGCTCAGAGCAAGACGTGGATCTACAAGTATCCCGAGGCTACCAAGAAGCTGCTGGCCAAGATTGCGGATATTTGCGTGGATCACTTGGCGCTTCAAGTCAAGGCAGGCGCTCAACTGGTGATGGTGTTTGACTCGTGGGCCGGTGAGCTTGGACCGGATTCGTTCAGCAAGTTCTCGGAGCCATACCTTGGGTACATCGCACAGAAACTGCCAGGGAAGCTCAAAAGCCTCGGTCTTGAGCCCATACCCATGACTGTATTCCCCAAAGGTGCCTATCATGCTCTGGACAAGGCTTGCAATCTCGGTTACAATGTTGTTGGCCTTGATTGGCTCCATGATCCGGCTGAGGCCGTCAAAATCCGAGGCGACCGCAATGTCGTCTTTCAGGGGAACGCTGATCCTGGCGTTCTATATGGAACAGAGCAGGAAATCACCGAAGCGGTTCAGCGCACTGTGGATGGGTTCTGGGCCGGTAGAAAGAAGGGTTGGATCGCTAACCTGGGACACGGTAAGCAACAATTCTGTCTGTTCCTGGCAACACGCTAACATATAATGAAGGCATCACTCCTGGTGTCAACCCCGAGAACCTGAAACACTTTTTCGAAGAGATTCACCGTCTCACCAAGGAGTGACGTAAAAGTTATTATAAATTCTCATTAATAGTCTACCTAAGTATCAAAAAATTGTCCTCGCAAACTCGTTCAGGCTCTTGCATACGCGTTGCGACACAGACGGAAATTGAACTGAGCAAAAAAAAGCTATTGTACATCACTCGCAACTAGATATAGTTCCTTTACTTCTGAAGCTTATAGGCTAAACTGTAAAGGCGAGATCCCTTCTCGAGCGCCGTGAAACACCTGATTGCTCCAGTGGCCGTGAGCTGCTTGTAGGTATCGGAGGACATGTTATGAACAAGTGACGAAGGTGCCAGAACTCTGCCTAAAAAAACCGCCCAAACACCGTTCCGCGCCGTAAACAAGGACAAAGGTGAAAAACAGTGAAGCGCAGACAGCACCATCTGTAGCGCACCGTCTGTAACGCACCGCCGGTAGTAGCAGTAACTTGAAGCAGCAGTTTACGCCTTCTTGCCGAAGGGCCAGCCTTTTCGAAGCTTAGATGGTGTCTCAGGGCGCTCTGTATCATCGACAATGGCTTGCTCGCGACTTGTGGTACGGGTCACTTCTTCGGTGTCGTCCTTGAAAATGTTACCAGCACCGCCTCGGCCTGTGTGCTGGGTGCCACTGCTGTGGCGACGAGGAACACTGCGACAAAATGAGTAGGTCAGAAGAAGCAGTTCTCCGGCGTAAAAAAAATAATATTGAGTGTGCAGTGGTGACTTACGGTCTGACATCCTGGCGCAAACGAGTTTCGATGGGGTCCTTGTTCTTGGCCATATTACCCGTGCCCCCGCGCCCAGTCGTAACAATCGGTGTCTTGAGCGTCGGGGTCTCCAGGTCAGATGGCTGGAGTTTTGGTGAAGCTTTGGCGTCGGACATATTGCCTGCGCCACCACGACCGTGCGAAGCGTACTGCGAGTTCATGGTCTGTAAATCTTGTCGGTCGAGTCGCAGAGTGGCGCAAAGGGGAACGGTAGTGAAATGCAATCAAGATCTTTCGCGCGCGAATGACTGAGTATGTTGCGCAGAGTTGGATTTAATCTCCGCAATCCTGCAATCTCGAGATAAAGAGCTGGACGTAGGTCAACTTGTGCTGTTCGCGGCTGGCTAATCTTCCTGATCACTTTGTCTAACAGTATCAAAAGCAAGTTGGAAATCGTGAGAATGTCGATGTAGGTGGGAGACCGCCACTTGGACAGGTGAGTAGCGGATATAGTAAGGGGTGCTAAGGATTGAAATCTCGTGATGGATGCTCTTGGCAAAGAAGCCTAATAAATAAGTACCTACCTAGGTAGGTAGTCACCTACCTACTGTACATAGGCTACCTTATTACCTAGAGAGTGACAGCAGATGGTCCAGAAACTCCACCAGCCCACTCCATGTGGGCGAGAAATGCAGGCTAATTACTACTTACCTTACTTACTAGAGCCTCTGAAGTTTGTTTTTTATCATCGCTACTGTATCAATTTCTTTCAATGATCCTCATGATACAGCCTTTTCTTGTTGGTTCAAATTCCAAGAACGTCTTCTTGTTTCGTACTATGCAGGTGGATAATGGCTGGTCCCCTGCCATTTCGGCTGAATGCCCCTGTAGGTACTCCATAAATTTATACTATAGTACCTACTAAGGTACCTATGTAATGGATTTCACTTCGAAGCGTGAGTGGTTTATTCAGTGGGCATTTTCTGTTAATAATAATGGTTAGCCACAAATTCGAAAATATTACAGGGATAAGTTCCCTAAATAGGGTCGTCAGTAGTTACAAGCAGCTACCTGTTACCGAACGTATCCGAAAAAAAGCAATTTGTATCTAGGAAGGTGCCCTTCAGCCCGAGTTGCATACTTATCCTGCCAGCTTCAACTACAATGAACAATAATCGCTATGCCGCCCTATATGTTTTGAGAAGCACACTTGGAATTGCGGAAAGGGCGGTTTCGATTTAATCCCCGTAGCCTTCCTCATCATCGCCCTTGCCGGCTTCCTTGCGGATGGGTATCTTGATGCCTTGCGCCGCAAATGTCTTGCTGAGGGCCGTGCTTTCGCAAACACCTGGGAACTTTTTCGCCGAGAAAACACTAAACACTTCGCTGTAGGAAGATGCGAGGATTGGTGCCCGGCCAGTTGTGACCTTTGCCGGGTTTCCGTCTTGCGGGACACGCCCTCCTGGAGGACCAACATTGACAAACGAAAATCGAATGCTGTGGCATTTTGCTTAGCTTCTATGTCAAGTACCTCACAAGTACTAGCTTACCGGAAATTCCCTTCAGTCCGGACGCTGAGATCTTGTAAAACAAACCAGATACCTCGCTTGTCTTCTGTATCGCACAAGTTGAATGCACTGACGGCAACGCTACCGATTAAGTTCCGAGTGAACATTCCCTGTGGCTGCCCTCCACTAACACTCATTCTTGGCATATTCATTGACTCTTGAGAGTAGCTGTCACATGTCGAAGGCGCTCGCGAATGGACATCGTTGCTGTGTGGCGCCATGGGTTGCTCTGGCCTGTAGCCATGGTTCTGGGGGTAGTGTTGTGATGAATGAGCATAGGTGCTTGCTGGGCGATATACTGCTACAGGTCAGTGACCCGTGGCCATTTTGATAATTGAAACGTCGCCCACCGTCGTTATAGCTTGTCTGTGCAGCATTCTCTGAGGTGTATGGGGGTACACAGTGCCGATTGTAGGATGCATCACGCCCAGACAATGTTCCATGCGTTCCATGAGCTGCGTCCGTACTATTATGTGATAGTGATCCAGTGACATTTGCTGACGACGAAGTAGCCGATGACGTCGCGGTGGAGGAGCGGACGAGGTTTACCTCTCTCGTTCCATCAGCATTCCAGAGATCGACGTTTAGGACGAACATGGTATGGTCGATTTCGCTAGATAGTAGAGCCATTAGCCATGAAATCTATCCATACAGGGTGTGTATTCGTAGCTTACTTATAGTTAACCTCTTTACCAGTGGCGATATCGACTATTGAAAGTCGAACACAAGGTGGGGGTGTGATGGGCCGGCGGTCCTGTACTACCATTAGATTGGACTGACAGAAGGACACAGCATATGGGAGTGGTTACCTTGTCCCCAAAGCCACACATACGAGCTCGCTTGGGCTGTTGTATAACATCAAGCCTTGGCGCTTGATTAGCCAGACTCAATGGTGCAGAGGCTTAGGATATAGCTCACTGGTACTTATAACCTACAACTTCATCCACGTTGGAGACAGGAGTGAGCACAGCTTGCGCAGGCTTAGACTCTTTTGAGCGGGCATCTGTCGGCTCGTTTGCATAGCTCGCCTTCCTCGGGGTACGGCTAGGATTCAAGGCAGGCAGCTGGTGGTGTAGATGAGAATGAGACTGATGATGCTGCGTCCGGAGAGAGACTGGAGTGGCGTTTGGTTGGAGAGGTGGTGGAAGGCCGGCGGATGCATGCTGATGGTGCGGCTGGTTCTGAGAAGAGGCGTGGTGATAAGAATCTGCGTACTGAAGCAATTGCCGAGGTGCTGGGAGCTGAAGCCGCGAGGACGCCGAGCGCTGGTAGTTTGGGGGGGCATCTGGAGGTGGCATCGATTGTGGAAAAGCCGGCTGTGGACCCGGTGGTTGGTATGGAGGATTCATGTTTATGAAGGAGCTCGAGCTCGAGTCTGGCAGTAACAAAACCTCGAGCTGGGTTGTGCTGCAGTTCCCGTCTATAAGTAAGGGAGAAGGGTGGGAAAATAGATCCAGACGGTGACAGGCAGAAGAGGAGTCGTTGGTTGAAGCAGCCGTCGTAGCGCGTACCGAAAAGCCAGCGCCTGTTCACCGGCTATTGTAGCTACCTGAGGTTTGCCTTTTTCGGAGGCAACAGCAACACAGGCACTAACGGGGTCCAATTAGCATCTTTGGCTACCTCTGTGTTGTGAGCACCCGCATATCTTTCTGCAAAGCAGCACAGCGGTGGCCAATTATGATTTGGGTCAGTTGGTAGGTTGTTTTACTTCGCTTAGCGCAGAAAGACCTACCTACCACCTAACCTAACCAGCTGTGAGGGTGATAACAGCCCACGGGTGTTAGGTAAGGGGCGGAGGGGCGTAATAAGCTACCTATATACATAAGTAAGGCCTATTTTTAGATAAGGTACTAGATAGGTCTCTTTTTCAAAAGGGGTTTTTATTATTATAATACTATTAAGCTACTACTATATATTAAAGATTTTATATATATCCCTTAAAAGTTATATTAAATACTTAATAATATTATAATAAAAAATATATATTAAATAGAAAATATATTTAATACCTTATTAGAAAATAAGCCTTATATATATAGATATTTACCTACCTACCTAAGTACTTAATAGATACCTAGGTATTTATCTATATATATTATTAAGGACTAGCCTTAGGGTATTTATTA